CCAATCCCTTTACAAATATGTTACTAGAAGGCTTTTCTGGCAAGAAAAAACATTTTGCTCAGAGAACCTTTAAAAGTCTTTCTTTCAAAAAATTTCCTGCTTTTTAAAAAAAGCAAGAAGACAACAAACTCAGGGCTGTAGAATTACCAGGTACCTAGATCTGTAAAATTACCAGACAGTATAATCTTGCTATATAAAAATAAATGACTTCATAAACCTCAAGACATAAAACAAAGAAACAAAACCAAAATTAATTTTAAACAAAGACATAAAACAGAGAAGATCAAATTCTTCAAATTCTTTTCAACAGAAGTGCTACATGATCCAGCAAAGGATGGCGCCCAGAACTGGATGCCCGCAGTATTGTGTGGATGTCCTGTTCTGGCCGTGCCGTTAGAGAAGATTCCTATTCTGCACCTAAGTGCTGTCACTTGTAATATGAAGATTTGTTAAAATTTAGTTTTCAGTGTTGCTCTGAGAATGGAAGATAATGAAGGAATGCAGAGTGGATCAGCACTGGCAGACAGCGATACCGTTACCTATCTATGACTTCAGCTCTGATGATGCTCACTCATAGTGTTGGACAATTTTTATGAAACATTTCTTTGAAAAGCTGGGCATTTCTCACTGTACACCTGGACTCTCAATTCAGATTTTCTATACAGAAGTCTTACTTTAGAAACGAATAGGGTTTAGATAATTTCGTTAGTTTATCTAGCTTTTTCACACTGTCCTTTATCAATAATTTGAGTATTTCCCTGAACAGCACTTCTAAAAAGCATTCTTTTGCTATATAATCCTAAACATATGTCAAGCTGCACACTGCTCACTTTGGTCCCCAGCACGCAAGATTGCAAATATCTAATCATCTCAGTGTATAAAAATATCACACAGCTCAAGCTAACGCATGCCTGTGTGTTTTGTCCGGAACAAAAGGTTGGGCTCTGTTAAAAACGAGGCACAGGTGCTCTGCTAGGACGGCAGCTGCCACTTCCTCAACAGTGTCCTTCATCTGTTACCTGACAAGGCTTCCTGAGGGACACTTCGCTGCGCAGCACACACTCATATGAGACAGCAGTGGATGTGCAGGAGGAACAGGGATGCTGGGAGGGGCCTGATGCCAGGGGCGGGGCCCTGACAGAGAAGACGACTTTGGACTGAAGACCTGAAGAGACTGAGAGACTCACGAGATGGCGATCTTTAGCTCTCCCCCTGCTGGAATGCAGGCGCCCCAAGAACACAGATCTGCTGTGTTTACCGTTGGGCCATGTACCCACTGCAGCGTCTTTATTTCATGCACTATTCCCAGGGATCGTTCCTAGTTGGAAGTTACTAAACACAATGCTATGATAATTATAATACTAATATATGTTATGTATTTTTTAATATGTTACATAATCATTTCTATGTGTTTTCTATGCCATCATATAAATTCCAGGGAGAGGAACATAAAGTCTATCTCTAGATTATAGTCCCACGCTTGATATGTAGTATCTATTCCATATTAAAATAAACGAATAGAATGGTCTGACTGGATGAATAACAGTCACGAGGCACTGAAGTCAGGAAATGGCTTCAGGACAGCACACAGTTACGTCTGGAGATGCTGTGCGTGTGCAGAAATGGCGCGGCTGGGTGTAATTCAGCTACGGTGGGGGATGATCCGAGAGCTCCTGTACCATCTGGGACAGTGACACAGACTGTCACCGGGGGCACAACATGGGGGGTACGGAACTCTCTGGACGCAAGTTTACTCAAGTTTTTATGCTAACTATTCCTTGGCTTCCCTATTTTTACAAAAGGGGTTCTGTCAATGCAGTAAGTAATGTTTCCCCTTCAGGAAGGGTGATAGGTAGAACAGAGCTTAATAATCAGCTCTCCAGTTTGATTTTGTTGCTACTTGTAAGCATTTTAAAAAAAGTACCATAAAGTGTCATTTAATCAGCTCCTAATGATCCAGCCTAATCAGTAATCAACAATCTGGCTTCAAAGATTATCATGTGATCTACATCTCATTATCCAGAAGTTACCATTACTAATCCTTAAATTTTAAGAGGCAATAATTTAACGAACTGAAATCAAGTCACATGATATTTTCTTAAAGTTACAATAAAAAGCATGCAAAAAAAAAAAAAAAACCCTAAGAGTAATTCCAAATCAATAAATTACCTTAAAATTAGAACTGGCAACATAATAGCCATTTGAAGTAGAAAGTTAGAAGAAGGAAGAGGAGGAGGAGGAGGAGGATAAATGGGCTATATAAGATACACCGAGTCTGTTTATGAGATACTAACACTGAGGTCACATTATCTGTCCTGAACATACGCCATGCTGAGACATGGATACGATCCCATGGCTTCACATAGCGCCAGTGAAACAGACCACACTGCCTCTCACTGAATCTACTTCTGACTCTGTGTTAACGTCTCCCCCAATCCCCAGGTACGTGTTACTCCACGGGTGTGGGCGAGAAGGTTAAAGCTGCACTTCCTCCCGTCCCGACGTGGGGCAGTCACCAAATGAGACCACCGCTGGCTTCCTTGAGCTCTGAAGCCTGTGTCAGGTCACACACCAGGCACAGGCCCTTCTCCTTACCTTTCCACCACCGGCTAAACAGAACTGTAATTGTTTTTCAAGGTAGAGTCCTTCCTTTAACAAACATTTCATTAAAAAAGAACCATGAATCTACCTCCTCAAGTGTCAGGACCCGTGATGCCTCTCCTTTGCTGCTCAATAGCTTGTGCCGCATCCTATGAATGGGATAAATGGTATTTTTAATGCTGATGTTAATGATCATCACTTGCCAGGGTCTTCAAACAATCATTTATGAAAACCTTTCTTAGGCCGGGTGTGGTGACTCACGCCTGTAATGCCAGCACTCGGGAGGCTGAGGCAGGAGGATTGTTGCGAGTTCGAGACCAGCCTGGGTTACAAAGTGAGCTCACGCCAGTGTGAACTGCACAGTGAGACCCTGTCTCAAAACACCAAAAAAAAGAAAACCTTTCTTTATGTTTCTCAGCTTGCACTTAAATGCAACTATCTCTAGAGACTCTCCGTGGCTCTTTTTAGCTATGTTGTCTCTGTGTGGTGGCTTCCCCTCCTCAAACCCTGCTGTTGTTTCCTGTCTGCACCAATGGTAAGCTTTCACACTGGTGGCTTCCCGGTATTAACATCCTTGTATAGTCAGTGCCTCAGCGAATCTGGACCATTTCTGAAATAACAACCCAGCAGAAGTGAGACTAGGCTAGCTCTAGGGCTAAGTCTTCAACATCTTGGCAGCTTAAATTTTTGCCTTTGTCCTGAGCACTAGTAAGTGTCAGCCTGCCCACCGGAGACATGTGAAGAGGCCATGTGACAAGGGAACAGCTTAGAGACTCCAGGGTGAGAGTGAGCCGTCTCTGCATCCTGAACCCAGCTTCCAAACCATCCACGAGGCCAATGCAACCACGTCGGTGACCACCGGTGAAACCAGCAGAAGAACCAACCCGCTGAACCCAGCCCCAACTGCGCAACCATGAACAAATAAAAACGAGGTGTGCTCTTTCCGGCCACTACACTTAGGTTTGTTAGACAAGAGGTAAGAAAACTAATGTGAAATGTAAAATCTAATCCCTAGCTGTGATGTTCTCTAGTGATCTAAATTCCAGACTCTAGGTTTACATTTCTGTACAGATATCTTACCTGAGCTCTACTTCAACATTTGCTAAATTGGAATCTAGTAGCTCACCTATTTCCTATACAGCACTGTGTAAGCTGCTGACTTAAAATTTATTTTCCCAGAGATATAACTCAGTGGCACAGCACCTACCTGCAAGTGTGGGGTCCTAAGTTCAATTCCTGGTACCAGAAAAACCCAAACCAAACCAAAACAAAAAACTCAAAATGTAAAGTGCTTTGCACACATCTTTGTTAAAGTATTTATAGGGCCAGAGACATAGCTCAGTGACACAGCACCTGTCTGGCAAGTGGGAGGTCCTGAGTTCAATTCCCAATCCCAAAGTAAATAAATAATGGAATAAAACAAAAAATTTTTCCCCTTAAAACACTGGGGCTTCGGGCAGTATTTCCACAGAAGTCTTGGTGATGTTTCAACTTTGGTTCTCAGTGCCAGCATGACATGGGCCACAAAACCAACTATAAGCTCAAAGAAATTTAAACAAATTATTGCTCACTTTTGAATACCACTTACACCAAGGCAAAAATATGCAGGAACAAACTTTAGCTATTGATTTTGAGATGGTAACTTGAACAGTTTGATCTATAACTATGTAATGAAATATTAGAGTTAGACCTCAAAAAGTCTCTGATTTTGTAACAGAAATTAGGATTTTATCTTTTGGGGGACATCTTGAACACACTAGACATCTCGAGAGGCAACACAGTGTTACACAGCCCAGGTTCAAATTTTAAGAAAAATTATGGAACTACTAACTGCAGAAGCAGCATTTATATGAAAGTTCTGTTAACTGAAAGCTCTTTACGTTTTCTGGCTTAAATATCCTCACCTACCAATAAAAGTGAACCTGCAGGGTTATTATGAAGATTAAATGACTCAATATTTTTAAAGTATCCAGAACACTGCACAGCATATAGTTACACAAGTTCTAATTTCCTCAGAAGAGCATAACCTCAGGCTCGTTTTTTAAATGTACTATGTAACAAGCTACTTTACTTTCATGTATTTGTTTCCTCAAATGTCGTAAGAAAGCAACGTTCAGCGTAGTCAGCTTTCTGATTAACTAAACGTTCAGCCCTGAGATCGCGGACGTGGCTGATGAATGTGATCAGAGATAACCAAGCGCTGTTTTCCAATAAGAAACGTTAGCGTGGGCTGGGTGCAGCCAAAGGTGGGCACTTGTCTGGCGCGAGAGGACCCGGGTCAATCCCAGCACCGCAATACAATACAAAAGAAAGTAAGTTGAGTGTCGTCTCCATTTCAGGCCAGAGGGGCGCAGTCTCCGTCGCTAGGGTCACGAGGGTAAGGGGCGCCCCCTACTCACCGCCGAGCGTCCCGGGCTTCCTGGCCACGCTCTCCCTCCACTTCCTCGAGCTGAGCTGGCTGGGCGGCGGGAGGAACACGCTGCTGACCGTACAGGGCAGTGCGAAGAGGGCGCCCACCTGGAACGCAGGGCAGGTTTCACCCACTGCAGCCCGGGCCCGCTCTGCAGCCGGGCTCAGGGCCACTTCCCCCGCACAGGACCCTTCCACAGCAGCGCTAAAACCTGAGGCGTGTCCCACCTGCTGCCAACAACACAGAAAAGGACCCAGAAAGCCACTCGAAGCTACCGCGGCCCCTTTTCCAGGGAGGAGGCAGCTCGGAAAAACCTTGCTCTTCAGAGTCTACTTTGTGTTCAGGGTGTCGGTTAATTTCTTTATGTATCTGTAAAATAATGAGAGGCCGAGGGTTCTAACACAAAAAAAATTGTCTTATTCATCCATAATTTTAGGGCCTCTGATGGCTACATCACTGTTCTGGCTTTACAATTATATCTGAAGGCAAAACAGAAATTTTTGTTCCTAAAAACCGGAGATTTATGTTAATAGGTGAAAAATGCAGAGAAGATAATGAATTATATTCTAGAAAGCAGAGCAGCTAAAGACTGATTTATAAGCAAACTCAACTTATTTATTTTCAAACTCCCAGGGCTGGGCATACAGACGTTTGTTTATTAAATATTTGCTCAAAAAAAAAAAACTCCACCATAATATATTTAGGTAAACTCTCAGTTTGATTAAAGACTAAATGAAACAAATTATAATTGTGAAAACTGTAATTTGCATATTTTAGAAATGTAGCTACATCAATCACTATATCCTAATAAAAAAATTAATTAAAAAAACTTTGGAAAACATAAGGCATTAGTCAAGATCTTAAACCTAATGTAAACTGCTTTTATGTAACTGTTCTGTGTAGATGTTGCTATTTATTATGCTTACTTATAAATTCATAGTTGACAGATATTAAAAAAATCAATATTTTAGAAACAAAGTAAAATATGACTATTATAACTGTAGTCTTTTTTAAGGGTAATATATTTCACATAGTCAAGTATTTACAATTAAAAATTTAAAAATTTAGCAGTACACATGTCTAATTTTCTAACCACAAACAACTCCTCCTTTCTGGCCGCAGGAAGACTTCAGAGCCCCAAGTGCACGGCCCGAGCCTGGAAGGGTGGTAAGGGACCGTGCCCACCAGGTCCCGGTGACGGCTTGCTCGGCACTTTAGCCATGTTCATGCAGCCCACACACAGCTGTCCGGAGGCAGGAGAAGAGCTGGCCGCACCTCCCAGGCAGCCTGATTTGGATGCCGATCACTTGTCTCCTCCATGCACTAATAGCTAGGTAACTCTGAGAGGGGCGAGACTGTCAATCTAGCCCTGAATTTAAAGGCCAAAGATCGCCTCAAACATGAGTCTCAAAACCTCGATTTAACCCTTTCAGTGAGCCCTCCCTAACGAGTGGTCACTCTGAGAAGCATTTTACAGCTTTGCAAATTCCTCACTGTAAAATATATGGCCATGTAGACCAGTAGGACAAGTAACACCCCACTCCCTATGAGTCCTGCCTTGGCTTTTCCTAATCTAAGAAAATGAGCTTCACCCCAAGAAGCTTTGATTCATATTTTGGGGAGATAGAGGGAAAACCTGTCAAAGCTCAAGCACTTCCTGAGGATCCCGTAAATCACTAGAACACAAGCCCCGCGGAAGCGAACTGCCCCACTGCCCGCACCAGCAGCCAGGCAGGAAGGCCGGGCGGCTGCCACACAGCTGCAGTCAGGAGAGGAACTGGACACCCAGCCGGGAAGCCGGGACTGCTGCGAGGAACAGGCACGCAGTTCAGACATTTAAAGATAAACTGTGATCCAGTATAAAAGAGAAATCAACCACTTCGAATGCAGAGATTTATTCTCTGAGTTAATTAACATCTTTGTAACTCTTATCCCTTTTGCTCTGATTAAAAACTTAAAGGCCCCATTCATGTTATTGCTCACTGATGGGGCGTGTTTAAAATTTTGTAGTCCTGGGCTGAGAAGCCATGAAAACCACAGTCTAACCCAGCACACTTGAAACAACTGGAAATATTAAATAACAGTGCCATCTGCTTCTGGGATTAGTGCTGCCTGTCATCAACAGCTAGATGACTTAATGACTCTGGTATGCTTGTGCTAAAAATTAGAGGTACATATATGATTTTTACAAGGAATATTAGGTCACAGGCTAACGTATCAAATAAGAACTCTGACGCACTATTCAAAATGTTATTCAACTTATGGGAAAATGAGGCTTTGAAGCCAAAACTTTAAGTTACCATACAATGAAACTCATAAAGCCAAGACCAAACGGCCTTTATTATATCAATTTTCAACAGGACTAATACTTGAGATTTGACTTTAGCTTGATGGCAAAACTGCTATAACTATAATAATCATTTTTCGTTTCAGGAGTGTCTGTTAATAGCCTGTTTGGTATTAATATGGTAAGATAATGTTATATATGCCAGGGATTTAGCTCAGCGGCACAAGCGCCTGCCTTGCAAGCGTGCAATCGAATTCCATCCCCTGTACCAAAAAAAAAAAAAGAAGTATTATGTAAATATGATCAATAAATATTGTGTGCATTAAAATTATTTTCACAGGGCTAGGGATATAGCTCAGTGGCACAATGCCTGCCTGGCAGGCACAAGATCCTGAGTTTGATTCCTGGTACCAAAAAAAAATTATTTCCACAGAAACATAACAGTTGAATAAATAAGCAGAAAGAATGCACTTATTTATTTTTTTTTACTAAAAACTTTACTTGACTTTGGATACATGATTCCACTTAGAATTCTTTATGTTCTGCTTTAGTAAAGTAAAAACATACCAGTTTTATACCCATTATAAATAGAAAACTATTAAAACAGCTACAAGTCTTCTAAGCATCATTATACTTATAAGAAAAAAAGCACAAATTCACAAGTGATTCAGCAAAACTTTAGAAGTTTTTCTCTGTTCTATCATGAAACAATAATGCAGACACACGAACACCTTGCTAGAGAATTGAAATGCAATATTGAAGCATTAATGATTAACAATAATGTTTTGTTACAACATTAATATGTAAAGAAATACTGTGCTCATATTAGTAACCATTTCATGGGTAGAACAAAATACCTGGCACCTGCACAGCACAGGGGACAGGCTGAGGTTGGCTCACGGTCCCCAAGGCTGCAGTCCATGGCGGTGGCTCCAAGGCAGAAGCAATGTGGCAGAAGGGTGTGTGCTCGGCTCCTGGCAGCCAGGAAGCAGGGGTGACAGGAGAAGCCAAAGAGGATAGGGGTGGGGACCAGGCATGGCTCCCAAGGTCATGCCCTCAGGACGCACTCCAAAACACCCAGAAGTACGCGTGATTAATTTTCCAGGTGTTTTCCAAACTAACCAACTTAATAACCAAGATTAGCCTCCCTCACTTCAAAATTTTGAAGCCATTACCAGCTACAAAACTTATTTCTGAGAATCTTCTAAAATCAAAGTCAATTTGTCTGCAAAGCATTTTACTGTGAAAAGTCCAGAGAGGAAATGTGTTCTAAGTTCTTTACATTAAAGAAACCAAGTTAGCAAGCAAGAGCGGGTTAATGAGCTGTGCGCACTGTCTACACTTCTTCCAATATTAAAAGCACAAGCACCGCTCCCGAGAGCCTGGTTACCTTGCCGCACAGCGAGGAGATCTGCTCCAGCAGCACCGCGGAGTTCTGCCGGCCGCTGTCCTGTAGCGCTCTGCAAGGGCGTTAAAGAAACCAGCGTGGAGGAACCGGGAATCACCCTGCACCCTAAGCTCTGCCCTCCTGATTCCCCCACCAGCTCACTGAATTCATTATAAAAACCAACTTCAGGAACTCACAATTCATCTCTCCTCAAAAATATTTTTGAGTATTTGTTCTGAGTATCATTACTATAAACTACCACAATAAGATATTTGTAAAAACTCTGCATACAAAATTCAAGAGTTCATATTCCATTTCTAATCACAGAGTTTCTTTTTATATAAAATGTTCCGCTCCTATGTGTGTTTCTGAAAATTTCTTAGATACATTTTTCTTTTGTTTTTTTGGATTTCTTAGATAAGGGATTCACTGTGTAGTTTGGGCTGGTCTTCAATTCACTATGCTCCTGCCTCAGCCCTCCCAGTGCTGGGATTACTGACACGCACCACCACACCCGGCTCTCAACACGTGTTATCTTAAGGGTTTAAAACATGTTCATTATTTGCAGACATATTTCATGTATTAAAACATACATCAGGCAACTCGCGCTTTGTATTAATCGTACTGACAGCAGGAGAGTGGCGGGCAGGTTAGGAGTGCGCCCATTATTTTGTTTTCCCCACAGATTCCAAAAGTTCTTCCTTCTTCCTTACCTCACAAGTCAAGGAGCAAAGCCAGGAAGTCCTCCGCCTTCCCAGAAGCATAAACACAGTACATGAGGTAGCACTGTACTTGCTTTTTTTTTGCAAGTTGCACATTTCTTAAAACCAAAGGAATGGCAAGAATACTAAATATTAATTAAAAACCATTTCAAATGTGGATTGGAACAATGAAAACAGCTTCTCTGATGCAGAGAGTGGGGTTTTTTGCCTTTTTGAGACAGGATTTCACTAGGCAGTTCAGACAGACCTTGAACTCACTATATTGCCCATGGCGGCCTCCAGCTGAGATCCTCCTGCCTCAGCCTCCCAGTGCTGGTATGACAGGCGTGCACTACCATGCCTAGCCAGCAGAGAGCTCTTTGCAGTGAGGCAGTCAGGAAGCCTGGGGTTAAGAGTAGGGAGGGAGGCACAGCTGAGGCCAGGGTGCGCGGAGCCGTGGGCCACATCGACTCACCTTAGCTGCCCTGCCTCTGAGCTGAATGAGAGCTCGCTCAGTCCCTGGTCTAAAGCAAAGACCAGTAAGAGACGAGTACGCCTAATGTTTCGGATCTCCGAGCCTGAAGGCTGCTAATGGATAAGGTGAGAGACGTGCAGAACTGGTACCAGCTCGTACCAGCTTGCCTTGGAAAGGCTCTCCCCCCAGGAGCTAACAGCCCCTCAGTCCTAACCAGGGATGCAGCATGGATAACAGATTTAAAACCGTCCAGGGCTGGGGATGGAGCTCAGCAGCGCAGCGCCTGCCTGCCAAGTGTGAGGTCCTGACTTCGATCCCCAGTACCAAAAAGAACTGTCTTTTTAAACTGCCCACTGCGCATTACTGCACAGAATACCTATTTCTCTCTGAGCTTGAGCACCCCTCTGCAGCCTGCCCCCGCCCCATGCTGTCCCAGGCAGGCCCCACTGTCAGCACAAGGTGTCGTCTACACTCAGGCAGCCTCACACCTCACACCGTCCCTGTGCATCGCAGACCATGAAGCCTGGGGACTCCGCGGCTCCGCATCCCTGACGTGCCCTGCAGCATGCCTTGGACCTCCATTCCAGATGCCACCTCTGTAGTCAAGCTCTGAGCTCTGGATGCTGAGCAAGATCCCACCCACAGTGTTTAAAATTCGCTCATTATGTCACCCCCTGGTGCACAGTCCTCTTCCCGTCCCTCTCTGTCTTTAAGATACCAGTTAACTCCTCATCATGGGACAGGACTTTCTGGGTTTTATCAGTCTGGAAAGACCCTCCAGCCTGCTCTAGCACATGCCCCCAAACCAACGCCCCCTAACAAGACAAAAAAATTGAATTAAAAACTGCATACCACAGTGATATATCTACGTGCACCCATGTTTATGGGAGCACAGATAGTAATAGCAGGTCTTGGAAACAACCTAAATGCCCGTCTACTGAGGGATGGATAAAAAAGGTGGTATTTTCATACAATAGAGTACTACTCAGCCATAAAGAAGGCGCCCCCACGTTAGCCCTTCCCACAGCAAGCACTCAGTGAGTATGGAATGAGACAGACTTCCACGGGGAAAAGCATGGGACCCGGGATACGGGAATGCAACAACCTGCATCCCCAGCAGCTCCAGCGTAAGGGGACCCACTCGTGCATGTGCAGTAACCCCACTGACAGCACAGTGAGGACGTGCACACCTCACATGTGGGCTCACCCACCCACGGCACCCGCCCAGGAAACAGGATCTGACACGCCGCGGACACAAAAGGATACAGCTCGAACTCCACGTCGGACAGGTAGCAGGAGGGCAGCGCTGCTAGGTCGAGCATCTGCACGAACTGCAAGGCAGGGCCGTAATAATGGAAAACCTGCAATAGAAATTAGCACTGTGTGACACTCTAGCAGAGACGAGAGCAAACGACTCAGTGGTGAGGACCTTAAACGGGGCTCAGAGTGCAGCTCGCACACAGCGCGCGGCAGACGTGTAACCCCTCCACTGCGGGCAGGAATTCCTTCTCCTCCACTCTGCGTTCACGGTCCACAGACTCGGAGGCTTCTCAGTGGTCAGCAGGAGTTGTAATGGGAGGAAATAGGCTTGCAAGGAGGCAAGCAACAGTGAACAGAAGTTCTCAACCCCTCCTCTTTCATGAGAAAGCGGCTAGTGCTGAGGAAACAAATCGGCACATCACCTGCAGCAGGCCTGCCAGGCTGGCAGAAACGCTTCACAGGACGAGCCTGGGCTGAGTGAGTGACTGAGGTTCAAAGGAGAAGTCAGCCGGCGTGGTGGGGCGCCGCTGGGCTCCGGAGGCGGAGGCAGGAGGATCCCTGCGACCCCGCCGAGGCCATCCCCGGCTACACAGTGCATGCAAGGCCAGCCTGTCTCTCAAAAAAGTACAATGCAAATAAAATAAAATAAAATAAAGGAAAACATCCAGGGAAAAGACTGAAGAAACTAGAGAAGCACGGTGCCAACAAGTGCTAATGAATAGACTCAGCACCCAGAAAACAAACGTTCAGTGTTTGAGTACAGCTTGACAGTAAATTAGAGGGGCTAACACAGAGTTTTAGTCCAATAGCTGACGATAGGGTGCCTCACACGAGGAGCAGAGAAAACACATCACGAAGAAACTACAGTTTTACACAGAAGGCAGCTGGTCCCACCATACGATTCTGTGTGTGAGTGTGCACAGTATACACACCTGTACAACAATGTGCACATTGGATGGAGGATGGCCTAACACCTCTTGAAGAGGTTGTAAAGTTTACCCTCAACAGTATCAAAAAATGAGATACATTATCACACTCAGACATTTCACTACCAAAAAGAAGAATTACAGCTATTAATTTTATGATCTTAATCTTAAAAATTTAAAATCTCTGTGAAAGATTGTCATAGCAAGTTATGTCAAGTAGGCAATGCTAAACAATGCTGGGAAATGATCTGTAGTTAGAAATGTACCTTTTTGGACCGCTTTTCAATCAGAATATATGAACTGTCAGTCCATATCCTTGTAACTTCAAGAGCACTATGTTTAGTAAATTCTTATAGTGGGGCTCTGAAAGTGGATTTCCAAAGTGCTTCTGTATAAAGAGCTCTTCTTACATTATTCTTCCAGTGTTAAAGAAAGCTGGCTACACCCTTTTTAATGATAATATTCATAATTATTTTAATGAACAAATATATAGAAGATGTGATCTGAGAATTAATGCTCTTAAAGTGCAGGTTCGGCTGCGTCAGGTCCTTTGCTGGACACTCTTCTCCTCCACCCCACTTAATCGCCAGGTAACTCTGTCAGGGAAGTGTGTTACTGTGGGTCCATCTCACACAGGCATCCAACACATAAAGGGTGCAAGAGCCAAGTCTGGACCCAGGTCCTCCTCACACAAGCCCTCCTGCTCCCACTACACCGTATTCCCTCCACACTGAGCCTCACAGAGGTCGCTCAGTGAAGTTCACGACAAAGCCAGCTGCAGCCTCCCTGCGGATTGGAGGGAGGGTCATTGTGTCAAATGACAAAATCTGTAATGATGGTGGTTTCAGCATCTAACTCTGAGAACAGCAAACTCAGGTACTTAATTATTATCAGAATGGGAACACTTTTCAGTCCACATCAGTAACCCAAGATTCAAGCACTTGACAGTAATAAAAATATTCACAAATGCATGACAGCAAAAAGAAAAGAGCTTAACATACAATTACCTTTGGCAAAATATCTTTATCCTTTGATGGTGTTATCTTTTTGGCAAGAAAGCAAGTATTCAAATTAGATGTACTAAAATTCTTAGGTGTGATGCCCTTCAAACAAAATTCAGGAAAACTAACTTCAAATCCAAACTGAAACAAATCCAAGAGAACACAGTTTCAGGCATCATGAATAAAATCAGAAAGATTACTATGTTGCCTTTATTACAAGGTGAAAGCTGAGAGTCCCAGTAACTTAACGTTCTCATTTTGTGGTAGAGAAACCTGGGTGTAAGTTAGATTAAAAACTGTTCAGAAGTAGAGAGGTAACTGGCAGGAATCCAACCAGTACGCTACCTGCCCACAGCTAATTTTTGGTAGTAAATCAGGTATATAATAAAAGAAGGCAAGTCATGCCGAGTCGTGCCAAGTATTACATAAATATACCCAGCGACTATTTACTTAAATCCAATTAAAATCAGATGAATTAAAACTTCCTCAGTGGTCACCAGTGGAACAGTCACATGTGAAGAGCTCGGGAGTCACACGGAGCCGCGGTCACTGTATGAGGGCCGACAGAGCACATTTCCACGCCTGCAGAAACGCCTCATTGGTGCTAGTGCAGAACGCCTGTCTAGGCCACATTCCACGAAGACTTTCTCCGCCTGTGTGCTGCGAGGCTGCAACGCCTGCTCCCAACACTGCTAACGGAGAAGCCAGTTACCTGTCTCTCCCATATCTGGATCTTCCCCCTCCATAGTTCCTTTGAGTCGATCACGTTGCCGAGCTCTTCTAAAGATACGACATTAGCAGAAAGGTATTCTGCAATCCTCTGACAGTTTCTGTTTTTAAAAAAAATGAAATTCCATAGTTATATTTTACTTATACTTAATGTTTACAGTTTATTTTTATTTTATTTCAGTTTTTATTTTTTCATCTTTTTGAGACAGGGTCTCACAGTGCAGTTCAGGCTGGCCTTGAGCTCACTTGGTAGCCCAGGCTGGTCTCGAATTCTCATCGATCTTCCTGCTTCAGCCTCCTGACTGCTGGGATTACAGCCCTGTGCCACCAGCCCGGCAATGGTTCCAGTTTAACTACAACTCTAAGAGACAAAATCCACACGGTGGTTTTTGTTTGTAACTAATGTTACGGCATGCCCACAAAGTCAGCCCGCTGAGGTCGACGCCCACAAACTAAGAGCGGTCATCCTTATAGCTGAGGGTGAGGACACGGACCGTCCTCACACTTCTGGCTTACCTGTGGCTGCTGGCCGTGGCCTGAATGGCCCTTCCTTACCACGCGCTGCTGCACAGGTTTCTACAACAGCACGTGTCACAGATGGTCCCACCCTCAGAACCGCACTCCTGTGAAAAGACGGTGGCTTCCCCTTCCTGCCTGCACTCAGCTCTGTGGCTGTGCCTAGCATAAAGTCAGCACTCAGTAAACACGCGGTAAATGGAAAGGGTCAGGCAGTCACAGAGCCAATTTAAACAACAACAAGACCAAACGGGTACTGAAACGCCCTCAGACACCGCAGTGTGTATTTATTTCTATAGCAGCGTAACACAGAAAGCAGACGTGAGGTGTAAATCCCACATGACCATGTATCCGTGGTATTCATCAAGATGGTGTTCATCATGCCGCTCGTGGGACAACCCAAGCCCATTTCTAGTACTGAGAATCGAACTCGGGACCTTAGGCTTGCCAAACAACTCTGAGCCTATTTAAAACACATAGCAAGGCTGACAATCCATGCTCGATAATAGTTATAAATCACAATCGACAATATTTCCTAAAAACTTAAAACTTCTTGGGAGTCTGAAATAAGAATCTGGATTCTTCTCAACATAGAGGACATACATTTTTCCCTTGTCACATTAAAATAGTTTACAAACGCTGAGTCTATTAGGAACAGGGTGGCTGCCTGGACAACAAAAACAATACTCCTGACCAAGCTCACATTTCACAGTGATTTCCTGCTACGGTGACCTTCGCTGAGTGCCAGTCTCGCAGGTGCTTTAATGCTCCGATGGCGGGCAAACAGTCCTTCAGCTTAGGCGGCTCTTTGTCAGAGGGCAAGAGTATGACGTCTATCATTGCTCTACCTAGAGAGAGAGAAAAACAATCGTTTTTAAAAGCTGCTTGATCTACAAGATCTTAAAATACTACCTGAACATTTGAATTTTAGGTTTATTTAGGAGATAAAGGAGTATTTTCAGTTTTAATTTCTGAAAGTCTTTAAAATAACACAAATCGGAGCTCAAAGATTTAAATGTTCTTCATTTAATTTAAAGCCACATTCTCTCCAAATAGCTCGCATACGCCAGAAAACAATGCACGGTATCATAATGCTTGCTGATTCTGCAGCAGTGTTAATTACACACATTGGTTTGCAGATCATCAATGCTATTGTTATACTCGACAGAGGAAAAAACTGCAATTTCATTATATTCCTCTATACTTAATTTTGTTATCCAAAGGCACTGAATTAGTATAAGATTACAATGCTCAAATAAATTCTTTCTCTTTAATGGACAGTAAAGCATTTAGTGACACCAGTTATATTGACAACAATTACGTACCTTGAAATTATAAATTTACCAAGGGACCAGGAAACTCAAAATTGTAACAGAAACCAAAGAAAAATTTGATAAAGTCTGTTAATTTGCCAGAACAGCAACCGTAGAATATTTCCATGCATATTTTCAACCTGACACATTTCATTAAAAAAGAGGGGTCACTGGGGTAGCTCAAGGCAGATGAGCTGAGTAAAAGACCTTCCTTCCCTCCAGAGGACACCGAGAAAAGGAAGCCCCTCCAGGGGTATCCGTGAGTGCCAACTTGTGTCACAGGCTAGGGGACACCTCCTTGTTAATGCTCAGAACAAAAACAGCATTAAGGGTACAGCGACATCACATTTCACAAAGGATGCTTTGCATTTCAGGGAAAAGTGGTTCTGCAGAAAGAGTACCCAGCAAAGTGCTCCTGTCACAGCCCAGCGTCCCATTCGCTGCCAGGCCACCAGCTCTGCCAGGAAAGAGCCTTGTCTGAAAAGTCCAGCCTGCAAAAGCTGCTTTCTGGAGTTGGTACTCTCCAAATAGAAAACATTCCGAAACACAACGCGAGAGAGTGTGAGAGGGTTTCAAATAATAATTAAATAAGGAGACCTAAAGAGTTAATTTTCTAAATTCTAATTTTTGCGTAGAATATAAAAAACTAATTTTGTCTAGAAAATAGTAAAAAGCACTGTAAGGTCTCAGCAACAGGCTTATTAAGATAGTGCAGTACGTTTTGTATAAATTTCAATTAAGCCATTTTTATTAGTATACATTTGTGATGCATAATAATTACAAGCATTTAGAGAAGTGGTTCACAGTTTTCATCTTGAATTTCAAGATGAGAAGTGAGACTATGAGCATAAAGACTAAATTCATCACCCACGCTGAAAAAAGTATCTAAAAAGATGCAAATTATGAGGAGGTCATGGTTACCGGGGGCAGGAAGCTGGTCTGCTAACTGGTGCAAGCTTTCTGCAGATTCTTCATACAGCCTAAAACAAAAAGGAGGAGGAAACAGTCAGTCAGGGAGGCGGGGTGGCCATGTGCTAAGCACAGCACACGCACTGTCCTTATTCCCTGACCCCATCCCGATGACTGCTGCCACACTGTCACTCTCACCATGGACACATGTGGCCAGTAAGGGCGGCAGCTAGGACTCTAACACTACCTATGGCCTTGTATCACAAAACAGCTGTAATTAGCGAAATGACAAGGAAGCAAAGTCCCTAGGTTGCACTTTTTATGTTAACTATAAACGATAACTAATAGACCAAACGTTTTTCTGAACCCTCAAGGCAAACTCTAAGTCTTTACTAAAGGAGACACTGCTTCTCTGTAAATCACATTTAACAGCATGATATTCTCTTCAGATCCTTTAAATCCTGAGGATATAAAACTGTCCCTGTGATGAGATTTTCTCAAAGGAGATGGTCACATAGATAATGAAATCTTCTATTCTGCACTAATACTGTTCAGACAAAGGTAAATTGTAGTTTTCAGGCTCCCTCTTGTGGAAATAATCATTAAGTTACTTACCAGAAGTTTTACCTCTTTTTTGGGGGGTAGGTCTTTTGAGACAGGGTCTCGCTATGCAGTTCAGCTGGCCTTGAGCTCACATTGTAGCCCAGGCTGGTTTTAAACTTGCAACAATCCTCCTGCCTCAGCTCCCGAGTGCTGGGATTACAGGTGTGCGCCACCACACCCGCCTAGTTTTACTTTTATACTTGTCCTCTTTTCTAATGTGGTGGGGAAACAAGGATTTGTAAGAACTTTAAGGCAAATTAAAGGCAAATTGGAAAACATAAAGGAGCCTCAAGACCTCATGGGTGAGGAGAAAGGTCCAGAAGTCATGTGCCTGGCCTGAGATCATAGGAACAGGGACCACGCTGCTGACCCCTGCGTCCAGCCCTACAATGTCTACCTGCGGGAAGCAGTGCAAAAGACAGGATCTGGAAACTAGTAATGGCGTGTTCACAGCCTGCACGGTTCACAGGTACACTGTATGAATAAAAAATAATGCTGAAGATCCATACGTGCTTTTACAAAATCACAGGTTTTCAGCTTTAAACAGGAAAAGGAAAATAACATTTTGGTTTGAAAGCTAACCCTAACACTCCAAGTTAAATTTTAAATATGCTATCAGTCAAAATCTACCTTCAAGCAAGTGATGTATTAGTTAAAATACCACTTTATAATCCTCGCAATGCAATGTTAAGAAAGAAAACATTGTCGGTATCAGTTTGTTCATTTTAAAGACCTTTATGATGAAAGACCCAAATTGCCTAATTTCTTCCAAAATGAAGAGTTCACACTTTCAGTTAATAAAATTTCCTTACTATAGATGCTACGACATGTAAATTTCATTTTCCTGACTTAAAAGGAACTCTCGGAAGCTAAGTATCTTAAAATGGTATAAAAAGAGCATACACGTACTCAGCCAAGCTCAAGGACTCTCTGCTGTTAGCGTCGTCTTCTTCAAAACACTCGGCAGCACTCAAGCATTCCTGAATATTAGTTTGAAGGGCATCTTCAATCTTATCTTTTTCTGCATCAAAATGTATCTCTTGCCAATCAGAGCTACAAAACTAATACATGGAAAGACTGTATTAAAACCACAGCTGCATGAGCTCCGGAGCGGGCTGAAGGCTTTGGCTGGCAGCAATTACCTGGTAAAAGCCAGACACGGTCTGCACGGCAAAGAACCACTTCTTGGAGCCAGGAACGCCGCCCACTGAACAGGCTTGGAAACAAAATCACGCTTATTACAACCCAGTGGCCCACACATAAACTGACGGCATGCTACGCATGCTTAAAAGGTTGCATATTACGGAAATACACTCTACAGTTCTCCAAGATCAATCCAGCTATCTTTTTAAAAGTCTCTGCTAAAAATTCAAGCAGAACAATCTGGTTCAAGAGCATAAAAATAAAACACTTTGCATTAGTTTATTGTAATACAAAATCCATATTATTTGAATCATCATTTAAAAAGCATTTCGATCTACTCTAAAGATATTGAAAAATATACCTACGGTTATTACCAGTGGAGAGCCCAAAGCCATATAAGTTATCAAGGGAAAACAACTCTCTCCCCAAAGATCACGTAGCCTTGGTCCAGCCTGGCTACCAAGAGATGCTACGCTTAGAAAGGCAATATTCCAGGAAGACAAGCCATTAAAGGCCACCCGCCAGCTTCTAGCAGAGCAATCAGGAAGAATTTAGAGCTAGTTACAAAACCAGACTCAAAGAAGAGGCAAAATGTAGTGAGGCTTCACTCATGGAAGCTGGGTCAGATCTAAGTGTCCATCGCTAGCTTGCTCTAATAACCTCAGCAGGACACTTTACTTCCTGTTTCTTTAGGAAAACAGGAGCTATTAGCAATCACACGTTTCAGGAAATGCACAACTCCATTTTCGCCCCATAAGTCTCTGCTCATTTCTTCCCCTTACCTGCAAGGGGCAGTGACCTCCAACCCAGTACTAGTCCTCGGACTCCTCTGGGACCCTGGCCAGCTTACGCGAATCTGTTCCTCTCATTAGCATTTAAATACAACTATTTCTCAAGGCAGCATTTTTTTTTTCAAATGAAGTCCTTTTACCCGTACGTCCCCTTTTCAGTGATCACTATTACTTTATCTTAATGGAGAAGTTTTCTGTCTTACTTAACTGCTTGCTTTAGCTCATCAACTTTCCCACTTTGCTCCAATGATTTTTCATTTTGTTTTGTGCCATTGAAACTACACTCATCATAGGCATCAATAGTTTACTTTACTAAATCTAGCAGTTTCTAGTTCTGTTTTTACTTGGCCTCTCAGCAGAAGAGTAAAACAAAAGAATCCAAGATGATCCACTTGACCTCTTTTTCCGTAAAGCATGTGATTTATATGGCTATTTCTCTGACTGCTCCCTCTTGGTCCTTTAAAAACTGGTGTTGGTTCCTTTAAATATTGGGAATCTGTTTTAGATTTTCTATTCTTCCCACTATTAATAAGCAACCCCTTCTTTCTTATGGCTTCAACTGATATTATACATTAATGAGTCTATAATCCATCTCTAGCCAGACTCTGCATTTTGAAGTAAAGACAGAGAAAAAAAATGGTAAATAAGTCACTTGGGAGCACTAACAACATAGTTTTAATCAAAACAAAATCCTCCTGTTTTTTTGGTGCCTGGGATCAAACTCACCTCACACTTGCCAGGCAGGTGCTTATGCCACTGAGCTAAATCCCCAGCCCCAAATAGGCCACATTACCTATACTATATGTATCTAAAGATGGGCAAGAATGTGTATAATGGAAGTAAAATTAAAGTTGAAAAAATAGAATAATTTCAATAACTTTTATGACATTTAGGATTTATCAGGAAGGGAAAGGTAATGTTTTTTTTTTTTTTTTGAGAACCTTTAAGATACCCTGAATTCTGGTTCCTTTTGCAAAGTCAGCAATATTTTTTGTACTTCTAAATGATCAAGTTAATTAAACTAATTCCCAATATAAATTCTATGTCAGAGAAATGAAGTGTCATGTTATGCTTACCAGGGAAAGCACTATCCTCGGGGCTGATGGAAGCACTAATGCTTCTTCTTAGGAGGTGATAAACATTTGCGGCTGCAAAATCTGAAAAGCAAACACTCTAAGTCAGCAGCTCAAAGTTCCACAATATAGACTGATTTCCATTTCACCATCAGAGACTGTCAAGACCAGTATGGTATACAGAAAACAACTGCCTGTATGCTGATCAAGATCTACTCAAATTTTTATAGAATAAGCTGAAAGCCAGAGAGGATATACAGAAAGCTCTTGGTTTACACATAGCACAAATCGAAAATTTCTTCCACAAAACAGAGAAACGGTCATGACAATTTTTACACGATCACATACACTCGCTCCTCAAAAGATCTGCTAGATCAAAACAAGTAAAATGCAAAACAGTCTCGAAAGGAGCGCTAAAAAGCAATTCGCCCTGTTAAAACCGTATAAATTTATCATTTGCTTTTAAAACTTTGATTCCAAGTGCGATGTCACCACCCATTAGACTGTGAACTCTGGGTCTGCAAGACCCTTACCTGTGTCGTTCCTTTCCGTACTAACTGCAAGGGGAACATGGAAGGCATAAGCATTTACCGAACTCCTATTTCTAAAGAGGAAAGACCATAGCTAAGGAATGGGGAATTCAATTTTTTACTGTGCCCTGAATTCTGGGGTGCGAGGATTTTGATCCACACGTTTGTACCGACTTTGCCGCGAAGCTGGTGTGTTTTTTGGCTCCCGTTAGATCTCTTTTGGGACATTTCGACCCACACTACTCGCCAGCGAACCTGATCAAACTGGAAGGGCGTTCCCTCCCGCCGCCCGTTCCCGCCCTTTCTAAACCCCACGCTCACCAGGCTGTTTCTCGCTACAGCCACTCGACGACACCTCTGGTCCATGCTCTGCTTCCTCACTGGCCACCAGTGGAAACTTTCCTTCTCCCCATATCACCAGCAGCAAGTACCGATCCATCTCCCGGCTCGAAGCGGTTTCCAGGTCTCAAAACAGCCGCGCCTCCGATGCACTTCCGGTTCTCTTCCGTTTGGTTCGGCTGGAAATTGTGTCCACCGTCTGTGTTACGTAGGTTTCTAGGACCTTTAGGAAGTTCTTCTCGGGCATAATTTTCTCGCTAATACCATTATTTCCTCCTTTCTTGATAAGAATGTTAGCGTAGGAAGACTGCAAGGAATCCCGTGAAGGAGAAGAAGCAGGCGACAGCTGGACGGGCTAGGAACTGTCGTGCCAGGTTCTGTGCGTTTCCGGCCGAACTCGTATGGGTGACGGCCCAGCCTGGCTTCCTGGAGCGGAGGCCGCGAAGTGGGTAGACATGTCGAGCTTCTCCAGGGCGCCGCAGGTGAGCCCGGACTCGACGCTGTTCCTTAGACCGGCAGAAGGACAGCGGTGAGCCGGCGGACTTAGGAACAAAGCTGAATCGGGAAAGAGTCCGGAACCCGCGGCCGGGAGGCGCCCGTGGAAGGCACAGACGGGTTCGCGGGTCTGGCCGCCGCTGGCTGCCTGTGTCTTGTCCTCGGCCCCGCGCCTTTTTTTCCCCTAGGGAAGAATAGGAGAGGCGGTCAGAGCGGTAGTTAGGTGGATCGCCGTTGTAGAGCGCTGAAGAGCCGGGCCGGAGGGTTTTGATCCCAGGGCGACACGGTGCGGCAGGCGAGCCCGGCCCCTAACGCTGGAGTTGGACAGATTCGGGTTTCTTTGAGGTCGGAGCGAGGGGTGTTTGTTGGAAGACTGAATGTGGGCAGACAGCAAAAGGAAAAACAGGGACTGCTGTCTGAGTGTTCGGGTTTGGGCAGCTGGAAGAGCTGAGGGCAGCTGTCCTCAGATGCAGGGTAGCAGAGGGGGACGCTGGCGTAGGGAAGAAGGGGCGCTGGGTTTCCAGCAGGTTGCCAGGCTGCTTCAAAGGTAGTTCCGATTAGGAGTGTTTGTTTCCTGTCTGTGATGAGGTGGATGTAGAAAGTGAAATTAAACATTTTTAAATGTTCATAGCCGTTTGACGTTCTGGCATCATTTGTACTTTGTTAAAATGCTTTTTTTCTATCAAAGTATTAGTCTGCAGTGGATAGGAGGAAACTGATCTCCTGCTTCTCTGTAGGCTAGTTTGAAGTTCATGGTAATTCAGTTGAAAATAAAACCACCAAGCCCAGTGTGGTGGTGCTTGCTTATAATCCCAGCACTCTGGGAACCTGAGGCAGGAGGATCAGAAGTTGGAACCCAACCTAGGCAATTTAGCAGAATGCTACCGCAAAATAAATTTTAGGATGAATTGGGGATGTAGCTCAGTAAGGGAGTTTTTGGGTTCACTCCCAGTTATGCAAAAACATAAATAAAACCATAAGTCTAGTTGTCTAGTGTTGTCTAACCTCTGATATGTTGAATTTTCTTAGAGTATAAAGACATTGACGAATCCTGCAAAAACAGTGTTCTGTATCTGAAGCAACTTAGAGGTGTGGGACAATTCTTTAAAACTTAAAACCCTTCACCTTCAGCCATACTTTCCCAGATACTTTGTTCTGTTTCACTCTCCTCTGGAATTGAATAACTGAATGGTCTTCAGTTTCCAACTTGACATTTGGCTTCCATGTAGTGTAGTACCTACTCAGAGTAATGAGAATACTGACAAATTTCCTTTTTTCCAGAAATAGAAATAAAAGCATATTTGTGATAGTCATTTTTTTTCCTTTTTCCATTAAGAAAAGTACTAGTGCGTAGTAGTTGTAGGGTTTGCAGGTTACATTTTGGCACATTTGCACAGGTATATAACATTTCAATCATTCCCGCCCTCTCATTGTCACCCCCCCCCACCCCCGCCCTTCCCTTCTCTCATGATCTAGGGTGGATCATTTTTTCCTTTTATTAGCGCCCATTAACTTTACAAAATAGTGAGTTTCAAATTGTATATTTTGGTTGTTTACATTCCCCTTGTTACACCTCTTACACTCCCATCCTTCCCTTATTCCCTTCCTGTTAACTTACAATAATCTCCCACTTTTCTCTTCCTTCTTCTTTTTTTTTTTTTTTTTTTTTTTTTGTCTTTTGAGACAGGGTTTCACCATGCAGTTCAGGCCGGCCTTAAACTCCCAGCATTCCTCCTGCCTCAGCCTCCCGAGTGCTGGGATTACAGGTGTGCACCCCGTACCGAACTGCATTGTTTTTCCTTTACTTTCATGCCATCTTTTTTAGACCTCATATATTAGAGGCAACATGTGATGTTTGTCATTCTGAGTCCAGCTTGTTTTGGTCGGCATGTTGATCTCCAGCTGCATCCATTTCCCTGCAGATAACAAAAATTTCCCCTTTACAGCTAAGTAACACTGTGTTGTGTATACACTCCACAACATTGTTTGCCCCTCGTCTGTAGGTGGGCCCTTGGGCTGCTTCCTTGTCTTGGCTGCCACGGTAAGCAGATGTGCAGGCGTCCCTGTAGTCTTCCGGCTTTTAATTCCTTAAGGATGGACCGAGGGGAGGATAGCTGGATCAAACAGGAGCTCTGTTTTTACATTTTTGAGGAAGCCACTTTCTAATTTCCACACAGCCTGTGCCAGTTTAGGTTCCCACCAGAGTGAAGAAGGCTTCTTCCGCTACCCTCACCCCTGCATCCTCGCCAGCATTTGTTGGTATTTGGTATTTTTGATGATAGTCATTCTGACTGGGGTGACGTGGAATTCAGTGTAGTTTTGACTTACATTTCCCTAATGGCTGAAGTTGTTGAACATTTTTAGAAGTGTCTGTTCAGCTCATTTGCCCATGTATTGATTGGGCTATTTGATTTTTTCAGACATTAATCCTCTGTCAGAATAGTAGCTGGCAAATTTTCTCCCGCTGTGTAGGTTTTCTCCTCATTCTGTTAGCTGTTTCTCTTGCTGTGCAGAGACATTTGATTTGATATAGTGTCCCGTTTGTTGATTTTTGCTATTACTTCTTAGACTATCGGAGTTCTAGTCAGGAAGTCTTTGCCTGTGTCTGCGGTTTCAAGTGTTTCCCCTGTGTTTTCTTTTAGTAGTGTCAAAGCTTCAAGTCTTATATGTAGGTCTTTGGTCCACTTTCAGTTGATTTTTGGGAGAGTAAGTGATAGCCATCTACCTCCAGTCTTCAACGCATGGATATCCGTTTTCCCAGCACCATTTATTACAGTGGTTGCCTTCTCCAAGATACATTTCTGATTCCTTTGTCTGGAACCAGGTGCCCTCTGTGAGTGGATTTGGCTGTGTGGCCTCTGTCACTGGTCTTTGTGTCTATTTTTGTGCCAGTGCCATGCAGTTTTTGCTACTATGACTTGTACTATAGTCTAAAATCAGAGTGTTGTGAGGCTTCCAGCCTTGCTATTTTAGCTTAGGATTGTTTGGCTGTTTTGAGGAGTTTGTGTTTTCATGTGAATTTCAGGATTGTTTTTTCTAGTTCTATGAAGAAAGTCAGTGTTTTGATGGTAATTGTGATAAATCTGAAGGTTGCTGTTGGTAGCATGGTCATTTTAACAAAATTAATTCTGCTAATCCACGAATGTGGGCTTATTTGTAGAGCAATCTTTTCTGTGTTCTAGTGTCTATTTTCTTTCTTCAGTGTCCTGAACTTTTCATTGTAGAGTACTTCCATTTGTATTTTTTTAAGCTAATATGTTGGTGTATACAAAAGGGTTTTTAATGATGCTTTTATATATTACATACATGTTTCTCAAATAATTGTTGACATTACCTGTAAAGTACATATCAAAGCATACAGCAATAATTAAATTCCTCCCATTTTTAATTATAGCTCTTTGTTTCTGTCTTTTTGCTCAAGCAATGGGCCACTTTTGCCCGGATGTGGTATCTCTTAGACGGGAAAATGCAGCCTCCTGGCAAACTTGCTGCTGTGGCATCGAACAGGCTCCAAGGGTTGCATAAACCTGTGTACCATCAAACAAGTGAGTATCACCGTACCTGCCGTTCGCGCTGGCCGGACCCTTAACTGCGAGGGCTGCTCTTGTGCCTGAGTATAACCCTGGTGGGCTTTGACTGGCTGTGCTTAAGGCCCCTCGTGTTCTGAGAACTCAGGAGTCACTACAGCAGCATTTGGCTTATTCATGGGAAACCCACCTGGACCAGTTTTCCTGGAATAGTCCCATTTTATGCCATTGTCAAGAAAATTAACAATGGCCCTCTGCTTTCCTGAGTGCCCTGATTTGCACCGTGAGCTCCCTCTGCTCCATGTCTTTTCACGTGTACCATGCACTGCAGTAGAGACTTTTTAAAAATAAAGGAACTCACTCATAATCGTCTTCTCTTTTCCCAGAAAGTTTTGTAGAGCTAGCTGGGCATGGAAGCTTACATTTCACTGTTTTCGGAGTAAGAGATTTGCTTTTCTGTATCTTTCTCCTAAAATGGTACAAAAATTATTCTAAAAGAGTTCTACTTATAGGTGGTTTGATTTGGCAACACCAAGACATTTCTCTACCGGATTCACACATATAGCCCATCAGTAGCATTTGCTGCAATCACATTTTTTACTTTCTATTGTAAGATGTATCAAACACACAAAGATGTGTAATATATGTGCATGTAATTTTTTGTTTTGCACTAGGAGTGAAACTCACCAAGCTACACCCCTGGCCTATGTGTGCATATTTTAAAGAAAAGTCATAGCAGTGGTTATAGTGATGAGATGGAGACTCACACAGTCAGCACTGTTTCCTTTTCTCCTTCCATTGCAAACAGTGTTGTGTTAATATTTGTGTACCTTTGTCTCGATGCGCATGTGGAGCGATTTGTTTCTAAGACACACAGGCCAGGAATGCCCAACAAGCGGGGAGCTGTTGAGTCTCTGAGTCCTCAGCCAGCAGCACACGAGAGGCCCTCACCGCCACTAAGGTCACTTGGGTGATAGCTAGGCACTTTCTAGTTTTGACTCCTCAAGGAATGTGAAATGCTCATGTGGTTTTGTATGCATTTTCCTGATTATAAATATGTAATGAGTATCTTTTCATTAGTTTCTTGGCATTTGTAATCTCTTCTGCAAAATGTCTTTAAATGTTTTGTTCATTTTTCCATTGGGTAATTTCTCTTTCACATTTTTTAAAAATAATGAATGTTTTTAAACTTCAGAAAAGCTTAAAGAATAGTACAGTGAATTTCCCCTTCCTCCACAGCCAGATTACAGGGTTGGTAACATTCTACCATGTTTTCTCATTCAGTCACTTGAAAATGTCACAGATTTCATTGTCATGCTCTTACTCCAAGTGCTGTAGCATGTATCTCCTAAGAACAGGGGTATCTTCCTGTGGAACTAGAATACCATTGCCACAGCTAAGAAGACACATAGCCATGAAGTTGTTCAGGTGCTTAGCCAGTGCTTTTTAAAGTTCCCTAATGGTGTCAAGGGCTCTCCTGTTATTTAGTTGAACCCAAACCTACCCAAGGTTTACTAATTGCCATTAGTCGTGATGTTCCTTAAGTCTCTTAGCTGAGGATACTTGTTTTATCTTTTTGTCATCATGAACCTTTGGGGGAATCCGGCTGAGTTTTGTGGAGACTTCTCTCCTGGAAACACCCCCTCCGGTTGTGTCCTCAGCGCCACTCCCGTCTGTGCCCCTCTGCCGACGCTTGTCCCCAGGCCCCTCTGCTTCCCCGTCACTGAGAAGTGGAGAGGAGGCTGCAGCCTGGGGCGGCGATTTCCATCCTTGGCCCTCAGGCGAAGCCCTCCCACATGCGCCTCTGGGTGGCAGCTCCCAGGTGACAGAGGCCATGACCAGCTGCTGCTCAGCAACTCTGAGGCCCCTGGGAGGCGCCAGGTAGACATCGCCAGCCCGCGAGCCTGTTGGGAAGGTCCGGGAGCCCGCTGCTTTGCTCACAGCTGACCGGCTGGCTCCGTCCAGCGCCCCCCCAGCCGGCAGCGCCTCTGACCTTTTAGTTCCTCTGCTCTGAAACCATCGCTTCGTCAGTGACTCCTCCTCCATACGTGCAGTTACTTCAAAGGTTAGAAGTGCATCTGACACCTAGCGCGTCTCACTGTCTCTTCCCCCACTGAGGCTTTCGACTGATCCGTGCCTGTGTGTTCCAGACAGAGGTCAGAATGGAAGCCAGAGCCTCGCCAGTGCCCCTCAGGGAGCCCCACGAGGCCCCTGTGTCTCCCGCCGTGTCTCCCACCTCTCCAGCCTGCTGCCCTCGCTCTTTGGTCTGGTTTGGTTTTCTCAGACAGAGTCTCCTTGTGTAGCCCACGTGTCCTCCTCCTGCCTCGGCCTCCCTGCTGCCATGGCCGTGTGCACCCCGGCTCAGCGCTGCTGCTGCAGCAGCCTTGCCTGCAGACGTGGGCTCTGCCTCAAGGCCGTTCACAGTCTGCCCCTGCCTGGTTTTAGGGTCAGTGGCGCTGTGGGAACTAATGTAAAACTGCTGAAAGATTCCCTCGTCTTCCTAAAAAGAACGGTCCCTCCGAACTTGAGACTAGGACATTTTTGAATATGTTTTATTTTTTTACTGATAAAAGAAGCATCACTGGTGATTTGTGGAGTGTGATTTTAATATGCCAGAGTACTCTGCGCCTTTCACCGTGAACAGGCAATTCACTGAGGAGAAAAAATGTGCGTCTAAAAGAAGCAGAGGGAAACACTGCTTTAGCACTACTGAGGTTCTTCTAGATTACCTTCACGTTCCCCACTCGGCTCTTAAAGGTTAATGTCAGGAACGCGAGCCTGCCCCACGGTCAGAAGAGGCCGATTTGTGACCCTGTCTCTGGTGGCCTGCCTTGTGAGTTTATGGCGCTCTGCATGAGCTCGCCTAAAATGATTCTCTCTCACTGTTCAGCTAAGTGTCAGCCTGTCTCAGCTGTTGGTTATCACATCATTTCCGCTCTGCGCTCTGAGTGGTGTGTCCGTACCTCATCTCCCTCCTAGAGTGTCATCCTACAGAGGGTGGATGGAAACCTTTGCTTTGGAAACCCGCGATAACAGCTGTCTGGTTAGTGTTGCACTGTCTGTACCCTCGGATTTTCTGGTGACTCCATGATCATCTGTCACAGTAACCACACCAAGTTCAGGGTTACCGAAAGTGATGTTGAAGTAGGTATTTGGGTATAAACATAAAGCCCAAAGCTAAACTTTCCTGTTTATTCCTGATTTGAAATATCTGTTTTCAAACATTTCTTAAAGCAGATCTGACTATTGAAAGCAGTACTGCACTTGGGGAAGGAGAGAAAAGATGTTGGCCTCTTCCCCCTAAATTCCTTTTGAGGACTCCAGGGCTCCAGCCAGCGCCCCTGAAAAGCCACGGTGCCACAGCAGAGTGCTTAGTGGGGAGCTCTGACTTGGGGGGCTGAAAAGAGAAGCTGCCGACTGGAAGAAAGGGCAGAGTCCACCAAAACCCGTGTGCATCAGGAGAAGTAAAAATTGTAATTATATTTTATACATATGTATTTTAATACTAAATTTATTGAGGCCTCAAGAGATTCATACAAGCTCCCTTTGGCCTCTGCAGCTATGTGAGGCACTCACGGTGGTGCCCATCAGCCAGACATGGATTAGCATGGCCATCAGCTAAAATGCAGATGCACTTTTTTGGTGAACCCTATTTAGAATCCACATAGCCAACAGATGACTTGTATCTAGAATGCATAAAGAATTTTTGAAACTCAACAATTAAAATCTAGATCAAAAATGAGCCAAATTTATGAACAGAAGGCAAGAAGCCCAGGAGAAGATACTGTAAGCCATTAGAGAGGTGCAAAGTAAAGCCACCGTGAGACATCACCACACATCTCAGAATAGCTAAGCTAAAAGCAGTGACTGCGGATGCGGCCCGGGGGCCGAGAACCGAGGACTTGTGTGGCTGGTGCAGGTGTGAACGGGACAGGTGCTCTGGGAAGTTACACGACCGTGTGTTACAGATCCAGGCTGGCCCTCACCACGCAGCATAGCCATGGCCTCTTCATTTATGCCAGAGAAATGAGAGCCTCGGTTGGTGAGATGATACTGGATCGATGAATAATGCATCCCCCTAAAACTCTGTCCCCACTTTTATCAGCTCTAGGAACGTCCCCTATTATTTACCTGCTTCTTTATAGTCAACACCTGCCATTGGAGCAGTGATGGGAGCCTTTGAGAGCTTTCTTCCAGTGATGAGGAACAGCCCGCCGTGGGCTCCACCCACTGCACCAGAGCATGAGATCCATTGAGAACAGGGACTCCGGGGACATGCATTGCTGTGTTTCTAGTAGCAAGAGTCATGCCCGGCAGTGTGTGGTTTTGTTTGTTTTTATTTTTTTTTTAGTGACTCAAGGTATTTTCTACATATTTAAAGTTTAAACAGCATTTAAAACATGAATTTCATTTTAGTGGAAAATTTAAAGATTCCATTTTTTCTTCAAGTAGCTAGTAGGGAAAGAACCTGATGTTGAGGGGCTTAAAATGTGCACTTGGGCATCTGTCTTACTCGGAAAAGGCTTTAGCTTCATCAGCTGTAAATTGCTGGAAGAAAGCCGAGGTCATTCATTTCAGCATGCTTTGCAGTGGCCCAGAGAGCTGCTTCTGTGTTTTTCTGAAGCTTTTGACCAGTTGCCACAGAGTCCCACCTGGGCCAAAGCTAGGCACTTTTGTCATTGCAGACAATGTGCTGTCAGACTGTTTTGCAGGCCTTGGACAGCCAGCTTTCTGGGGTTGTATCTGTGTGTTCCCTTTTACTCCAGCCATGAAAACCACCGTTACCCTTGTCCTGTGTAGCTACAGAATTGTGTAGTGTCTGCTATTCAGTTACGGTCTCTGCATGGCCAGGGATTTAGCTCAGCAGCACAAGACCCTGCCTGGCAAGTGCGAGGTCATGAGTTCAGGTCCTGATTTTAAAAAAATTCAAATGCAGTCTCTGCATAGAGCCTTATAGTGTAGTCTTGACTGGTACTTCCTGCTTTTAGTGACATGTTTTCTTAAGCATCTAGAATCTTTTGAAGTTTGTTCTTTTCCATTAGAATGAGCATGTAATAAATGCTTTCAGATTACTTGGCTTTGTTGTGATCAGTGGTTCATGTGAAAACTTCCATATTGACTTGTTTTTAGAAGAACAGCCAAACTTGGCTATTTTTCACCAGAAATTAGGTGTGTATGTATGTGTATGTATATATTTAAAATGTACATATATAAAATGTATATATATTTTTCCCTTAGATCATCTGTTCTGTCACATATGTTTATAGTCTTAGGAATGGCAGTTTAAAGTTAGTTGTTGTTGGAAAAAAAAATCTGTGTCAGTAGTAAAGCATAACAGTGTTCTATTCTCTAAATTTGATTGTAATGTTCCACATTTTTTCAATTTACCTATTGGTAAAATTACATCTATATATGTACTGTTTTCATTTTCCCTGTTAATTTGTATTAATTAAAGGTACTAATACAGACATTTTTAATGAAATGTAATTGTTGGGGTTGGCGATTTAGCTCAGTGGCGTAAGTGCCTGCCTGGCAAGCACAAGGTTGTGAGTTGATGCTGGCTATCAACAACAACAACAACAACAAAAAGGTGATTGTTAATGGGAAGAATAATAGGAATAGCAGTAGTTTGCATTAAAGGATGGATTGTTACTACTGGCATCTTTATTGAATTTCCTGTACTTTCCTGTGTTGAGATTTTCCAAATGGCCCGCCAACCCTTTCTATTCTCAGGTGCTATATAAAAATGTAATGAATCTGTTCAAGGATGTTTGATGTTGCACTGTGATTTGATTTCTATTATTTCAATATCTTGTTTGGACGTTGATAACTTCACAGATAATCAAGGCCACTTTTTCTCTAAGATTGTGAGTTTTCATAGCCTGTCTGATTTCTTTTTAAACCCAGGTGACTGTGGAGATCACGTTGTCATCATGAACACACGACACATCGCGTTTTCTGGAAACAAATGGGAACAAAAAGTGTACTCCTCACACACTGGGTAAGACGGTGACACGATGGGGAAACTGTCAAAGGGTCTCGTTTTGCTAATGCTGCGCTCTTCTTTAAAAGGAAAAATGGGGTTTCCAGACGTGGCATTTAAAAACGTACTGATTTTACTTGTCACAGCATAATTTATTCACCAAAACAAACACCAGACCGTGTCAGCCCTCGATATTTCCTGACAGCATTTATTTCTCCCATGAGCTTCACACAGCCCCTCTGCTCAGTCAGCCTCTCTTGGTCCATTTCTGCTTCCCGTGGCGTGGTCCGTCTCTTGCTGTTCCCAGGCCTTTGTAAACCCCTGCCCGACACCAGGGCCAAGGACCAGTCCGCCTCCCCAGGCTCAGCCTTGTCTGTCAGGACCTCGCCCACAGGAACACCCCTGTGGGCCGACCTCAGGTAATGTGGCCCAGGACCGCATTACCATCCGCCACCGGCCACCCTTGAGCCCGGGTCCTCTGCCGCCACGTACAGCTCGGACCCAGGCCTGGCACAGACACTGCTCCCGGCTGTGCCTCGCCCTGCAGCAGCGCTGCGGTTCTGCTCTAATCCAACTGCACGCCCTTCACTGTGCTCAGTGTTAGTGTCCTCTTCCTTCTAGATATTTCCTTATGCATCAGGTGCAGGCGGGGATAAATGTAAAGAAGCATTCCTTCTGTTCCAGATGTGCCTCCAGCCCCGCGCCACCCTTTGTGGGTTTTTTTTTTTTTTTTTTTTTTTTTTTTTTTTTTTTTTTTTTTTTTGTCTGTTTGTTTGTTTTTATTTTTTTGACAGAGTTGCTAAGTTGCTGGACCTGGGCTCAAACTTAGGTTCCTCCTCCCTCAGCTGGAGTTTTAGGTTATAGGGATGCATCATCATGCCTCACAGAGAGACTTTTTGTAAATACTGTCCTGGTCACTGTGTTGTAGTGTGTTACAGGGGAGAGAGGGAGAGGGAGAAAGAGAGAGAATGAATTAAATCTCATGATTCGCCACACTTGCTTGTTATTCCACTTTTTGAAATGAAAATTTTTGCTTTTACAAAAAGCCAGCAAATATTTTTATCAACCTTTTAGCTGTACGAGGTTATATAAACTAAATCTCTGGGAACCATCTGACGAGTGACCGTTTACGGGCCTTTGACAAGTGTTTCCAAACACCACTTTACTACTGTATACGAAAGCATGTCACTACAGAAGTAAAAATAATTTAATAATGAGGAAGCTCTACTGTTTTGAAGGCATCTATTTCATTTATGTTCTGATGAGGTTTCCATCCTTTCCCCACTGCCTTCTGGGAACATCTCATCTATTAACACTGTTAATCTACTATTACATGTTTGTTTTACCTTTTTTAAAACAAAGTTTCTCTAGGATTTTCTTTACTGTTATTTTTATATGATTAAATATTCATTTCCAGGCACTTAGGGGTTGGATGAACGCTCGCATCTAACTCACCCAGAATGTTTCAGCCTGGGTCAGAAGCATGGCTTACTGCTTACTGGAACCATCATACTTACCTGCGTGGCCCTCGTACCCTTCCAGTAAACACCTGCTGAGCTAATTGCACCCCAAGCCCCAGCTGTCTTTAAACAGATCCCCCCTCACTCCATCCAGGGTGTCCCGCCCTGGAGGAAAGCATGCAGTTTTAGTTTTCTCTAGTAAAAATCAATGAGTATTGGATTACTCCAGTCTTTGCTTGTGCAGAATTTTATATTAGCTTTCCAGATAGTGCAGGAAGAAGGCCAGGCCCCTGAAACACAGCATAAATGGTTTTACACTTTAGAGTCTACTGTCCCAATGTTAAAATTAGAAAGGTAATCTTTTGCATAGAATTTACAGTGTTTTTCCATGGAGACAATACAGGAGCAGAAGTCTAGGCAGATATTTCTTTTTCTGAAACTGAAATTGTGTGAAAAAGATAAAATAACACTAGTTTGAAAATTAGCTATCAATAGCTATCAATAAACTTCTAAGTTTAAGTTTTATATCTAAAATGTTACTCCTTAAATCATCTTTAAAATGTTTTAAATTTTTTTGTAGCATGCACTGATTTTCCAATTTTTTCCCTTTTTCTAATAATCATTGAAACTTTTTCTGTTCAGGGTCAGAACAGAAAAATCCGTATATTGTTTTTGTTTTAAATTTATTTTATTCTCAGTTTTAATTTTTATTAGTATATGTTTTTGTTTTAAATTTCTTAAGTTCTTTTGCAGATACTTTCTTATTCAAATCAGAAATCTTGTTAAGGAGTTGGAGAAGATGCTATTTTTTATATGAGTAAAATCTTTGTAGACAGGTAACCGTAGTTGCCTAATCCAAACTGATAAAACTTAGTTGGTGGGGCAACCTAGTTTCAGACCTGGATCTGGGAAATCCAAGTTACTAAGCTGACTAATACTATCACAGGTAGTTCCATTTGTCAGTTTAGCCATCTTGTATATAATGTGATCTGAACGCAGTGAAGTGTTTTTTGCTCAGAGCCACGTGTAACTCCGGTGGCCCTTAGCGGGCAGTTAGGAGGACGATCGGTAGGAGGATGGGCCCTGCTCCCGCTGGAGGAGTCTCGCGGGCAGTCTCTGGGCCCGGCCCGCCCTGCCTGTTTGCCTCATTTTGGGGGAAGCTCAAAGGAGCCCGGCTCATTGCTGCTCCTGTTTTAAGTCAGGCAGTGATAAAGTGAGTGAGTGAGCGGGCAACTTAAAATCGGGAAACGTGGCCACACTAATAAGTGTTTGCAGGTGCGGAGCTGTCACTGGTGAAATCTCAGTGGGCTCCAGGCAGTGGCGTTTCCGCAGCACCGCCACCCTTCATTCTGAGACACCCATAAATAGCACCCGGGAAGGGAGTGTAACGGCCACCGGAAGTGGTGCTGTAAAGCAGTGCCTAAGTTAGGACCCCCAGCCCAGCCCGCACAGCTCTGACTCTGTGCTGCCTTCACAGCTACCCCGGCGGATTCCGGCAGGTGACCGCGAAGCAGCTCCACCTGCGGGACCCTGTGGCGGTGAGTCTGGGCTCCGTGGGCGTCTGGGGCACCTGGTGGGGTGCTGGGCTTCTTCCGGTGCAGCTGTCAGGCAGGACTGAAGCCTTTCCGGGTCTGCGGGTTGCTGCTTCTGCTCAGGCTCTCTCGGGGCAGGCGTGTGCTGTGGAGCCCCACCTCTGGGCAGGCTTCCGGAAGGCTCCTTTACCCTCCATATACCTGGAGCTTCTGTAAGGTGAACCTGGCGTGCAAGCGATTTTGAACCGGTTAGCGATCTGCAAAAGCCTTTTGAGAAATCCCCGCCCCCTTGCCTTTCCGGAGAGATCCTCGCTAGCGAAGGGGCCTCCTGGCCCCCAGATGGCGACCTATCGGAACGCAAGCTTCGCCCGCGCGAGGCCATCAGGACAGACAGACGCCAGCCCCGGGGCTCTACGCTGAGGGACCTTCTGGCCTCCGGCCTCCGCTGACTCCAACACATTTTTATAAACAGCGTCACTGGCTTTGGTGGTGCTTGCTGCTTCACCTGACCCTGGACTCACACCAGGCGCCGTCCCAATGGGCATGCCAGCGCCCAGCGTGGCACAGCAGTCTCCTGTCGCCCGGTTTCTTCCTTTAGCACTCAGGAGAAGTGGCCTTTAGCTCTGCCCTTGGGCTGAGAGTGTTTTCCCTTCAGGGACTGTGAGCTGTTACCTCAAAACCTGTATGAATGAACAGGCTAGACTCTGAAACCCTTCTTTGCTGATTTTCCTAAAATAGTTGGCGGGGTGCGGATATTAACAAGTCCTGACAGACCCTGTTGAAGTTCCTTATTTTACTGTTTATTTTGGATTGTTCATGTGTGTCTTAAAAAATGTATGCTCAGAGATCGCTTCCTAGATAGTATTTAGTGTTCTGTTTCATAACTAGCCTTTTAAAGACTGTTAAAGGTCACTGTATTTTTTAATACTATGACTTGCATATATTAAAAGTTATAAAGGCTGTTGACAATAATGAACCATAACTGTTAAAACACTTCATAGTTTTAATACTTTGTCGATTTTTTAAATTTACAAATTATTTTCTATTTTTTCATTGTACTCTAGGAGGCAGTATAGCCCAACTTTTTAATACAAGAAATCTAACATTTGATAACATTTATAAAAATTGCTCAAAATTATTTTTTATAAACAAAAATTGAAATTATTTCAAAGTACTTGCTAAAGTATTAGAAAATATTTCAGAGGTAAACCACTTGCAGTTTTAACCTATTGAAAGAGCTTAACTTTTAAAATCTTAATTTGGTCTTTGAAAACAATCACTCCATGAAGAAATCAGTTATTTTATTTCTAGCTTGCTCCCCATGCTTGTCTGCAACAGTGGGCTCTGCCCACAGTCGTAATTTTCTAATTAGGACTTTCTTTATGGAACTTTTCAGATCATTTGTTTTGTTAGTGAACCCTGATTATTGGTGTAGCTTGGAATGTTGGTAAAATATGTTACTTAATATTTAATAGCTAAGGGGGCTGAGGATTTAGCGCAGTGGCACAAGTGCCTTCCTGGCAAGCACGAGGTTATGAGTTCAATCCCTGGTACCAAAAAAAAAAAAAAAACAAAACTTTAATAGTTACGTGAGTAATAGTAGTTTGTTGAGTATATTTTATATTTTTATAAACAGAAAATTGTAATTCAACTAAATACATTGAATTCTATCTTATGTATTTTAATCTAAGAGATTTTCTGTCTGTATTTTATTATATTTTCTTTCTTTTAGTTAATATAGTTATTTTTTATGCAATAAATGCCACAAGCCTGTGGATTGCAGATTATATGAGGAAGGTCTTGAATGTTTATTAGCCATTCTTTCTACTATCTTTTTTTATTTTTTTAATTTCTTACAGCTTACCCCTAAGTCTGTTCAGCTAGAATTCCTGGATTACATCTGTGTACTTTTCACATCTATTTCTTTGTGTTTGTGTATCTTTTTTTTCTTCCTGTTAGCTTATAACCTTTTCATATTTTCTAACTTTTCCTAGTTTTAGTGTGATGTTTATTTAATAGGACAGATATTTTTAAAGTACCTGTTTGGTAACTCAAATAAATACAACTACACTTTTATGATTATGAAAACCAAGTGTCAGGTAACCCCACTAATACAATACAATAATTTTTATAACATAATATTCAGAAGAGACAATGGCTTGCTTATCCAGAAAAGATGCTAAGTAGTCTTAACATTGTCAGTTGTCTGTATGGCTTTTATTTTTTGTCTTTTGAAACCAGGTCTCCCTGTGCAGTGCAGGCTGGTCTTGAGCTCACTTTGTAATCCAAGCTGGTCTTGAACTTGCAATGATCCTCTTGCCTCAGCTTCCCAAGTGCTGGGATTACAGGTGTGTGCCACCATACCTGGCTTGTATGACTTTTAAAGCATTAAAAAATGTGTCTGGGCCTGGTGGAACAGACCTGTGATCCCAGCACAGGGCTGGGAAGCCAGGGCGGGAGCATCTCAGGTTCAGGTCTCCTGGACAACTTAGTATACCCTTGTCTCCCAGGAAAGGTTTTGTTAAGGCTGGGGTGCAGCGTGGTGGGAAGACCCAGGGCCCAGCCCCACTGCTGCAGATGAAAGCGGCCAGGGGAACTGTTCTGTGCATGCTGTAGTGGCCACTCTCCAATGAGTGGGAAGCGGGCACAGTGCAGCTTGTGTGACTGGGGAAGTGGATTTGTCACTGCTTTTGCTTTTGACAGTAAAATCTACAAATAGTAAAGTCTCCGCAACGTAAACCCTTAAACAGAGATATCTATCGCATGTCACTAGCTTCCATATTCCTGGGGTTTCGGGGTCTGATTCGATGAGGTAACAAGAGGAAGGGGAACCTCCTATGGGGCAGCCCTGATCAGCAAAAGTGGCTTTGGTGGGTTCGCTTTAGCACACATTGGATTTCAGCCTCAGAGTGTGAGCATGCGTGCCCTGGAGCACTGTGCTCAGAGGCCCTCAGAGGCCTCCACTGACCAAATGACACAGAAAGCCCCATCCAGACCGACCGTGAGAATAAAAACGAGAGCAGTCACAGAGCGCGCATTCACCCAGACATGGGTCCTGCAGGGACAAAAGGCTCTGCCCTGGTAGTGAGCCCAGGAGGGGAGGTGTGGTGGACACGGCTGGACGGCCTCTGTGTGTCCCAGGGGTGGGGCCGCCTGCGCCTGGCTGGAGCCCCAGCACCGCTGTGCTGGATGTGTGGAGTTGAGGAGTCCTTTGTCCTCTGTAAATCTGTTTGCTCCTCCGCGAAAGGAGGCTAGGTGTAATGCCACTTGGCAGCGCCGTGAGATTTAAAAAGGAGTGCGTCCCCGCAGTAGGCCATCCTGGACTGCTGCCCCGGAGTGTGCACACGCGTGTGATGCAGGGTCCCAGTGCTGAAGTGAGACGCGTGGTGTCCCGCAGGGTGGGACAGGATGAGGGCTTCCGGGCTTCTGGCTGACCAGTGTGTGTCAGAGGACTTGAGCCACAGATTCATATGGAAGTTTAGAAAACGTCTTGATATGCTCTCAGCAACGGGCACATACATGAGTTTATTTTTTTGTTTTATTTTAAAGAGAACAAAACAAAACAGAACAAAGCAAATCACAACAGAACAGTGCAAGCAACACAGGGCTTCACAGCCAGACAATGGGAGATCTACAGTGGCTACCGAAATGGCTCTTGTTTTCTTCTAAATCGTTGTCCGTACACAGTATGATCAAACAAAACAAAATGGTAGAAAACCAATCTAAAAAATGAAAGCATTGTGGACCTTCAAAAAAAGACAACAGGAAATCAACAATACCATAATGTTTCTTGTTCTCATCGAGATAGCTGTCTGTATCCTCATACATAGTGAAATCAAATCATAGAAAACAGATTGAATCCAATCAAAAGAAAAGAATGAAAACATAACAGGACTTCAAAACCAGGTAACAGGAAATGAACAATGGCTACTGTAATGCCTTGTTTTCTTCAAAGTAGCTGTTCATGCCATCACAGGTAATAAAATCAAACCAAACAAAAGAATGAAAGCATTGTAGGACTTCAAGATAATAAGAAACCAACCATGATTACCATAATATATCCCATTATGTTCAAAATAGCTGTCCGTAGCATCACACACAGTAAAGTCTAATAAAACAAGACAGAACTGAACCAAACCTAACAAAATTGTGAAAACATCGCAAGAGTTCAAGACAAGACAATAAGAAATTAACTCTGGTTACCACTTCTCCTACGTGTTTCCTCCCCTATCACTTTTATAATATCTATTGTGTTTTTGGATCCCTCTAACTCCTTTTGTTTTTTATGCTAGTGTTCACCCGTATGAATTCAAACTGTTTCACCCATGAACATGACCTCTAGTTCCATCCATTTACCTACAGGAGCCTTGAGATGATCCTACTTTATAGCTGAGTAGCTTTCCACTGTATAACAGTACCATATCTTGCTTATCCATTCCACAGTTGATGGGCAAGCTACCTTTGTTTTTTTCTCATCTCCTGTCACATGGAACAATTGTTTTCTCCCCTTTGATTTTGTCTATGAATTTCCTTTCAAGTTAAATGTGTTTCCTATATACAGTATATTGATGGATCTTGTTCCTTGATCCATTTGCCGTGTTTCTTTTTATTGCTGACCTGGGGCATCTAATTAATGGTTACAACCAGCATACATTGGTTTGTCTGTGCCCTGCTGTCCTGCTGTTGGCCCTCCACTTTTCCCCTTCATTCAGTTGCCCGTCCTGTTTGGTGGCCCTCTTCTGCTGCTGTACCTGGAACCGTGGTCAGGTTTATCTCTCTCTTTGTCCTTAAGCACTCTCTGTAGGGTTGGTTTGGTGGTCAGGAATTCTTTCAATTGTTCTTTATCATGGAAGTATCTTATTTTTCCATCAATTTTCAAAGTTTTTTTGCAGGGTACATCAATCTGGGTAGCAAGCTGTTTTCTTTCAGGATTTGAAACACTTCACTCTAAACTATTCTTGACTTGATGGTTTGTATTGACAAATCTGCTGTGATTCTGATTGGTTTTCCTTTATAGGTGATCTATTTCTTTTCTCTAACAGCTTTTAATATTATATTCTTGTGCTGAATTTCCAGGATCTTGATTACTGTATGTCTGGGTGTAGATTTACTTTGGTTATGGCTAGCTGGAGTCCTATATGCCTCACTTGTCTGTATGCCAGATCCTTTTCCCATATTTGGGAAGTTTTCTGCTATTACTTCTGTAAACGGCCTTTTAATTTCATTTTTGTTGACTCCTGCTTCTTCATTGATGCCTGTCATTCTTAAGTTATTTCTCTTTGCGTTGTCTTGCAGCCATTGAATTATTATTTCCTGGTTCCTTATTATTTTTAAAAGATCTTTCATGGTTGCTAGAAGCAATCCTGTCTTCAAGGTAAAGTCTGTCTTCAGTCTCTTTCAAGCAGTTTTGCCAGCTTTCGATTGACTTTTTAATTTCCTGGATATCTCTTTGAACCTGTTCCATGCATTGTAATTTCTTTGTATATTGTTCATTCAAGGTTTCCATCATTTTCCAGTGCTCCTTTTTTTTTTAATCTATGTCTTCTTTAGATATGCTGAGCAATTATTTCATTGTTTTTCATTTCTCCTTTTACTTGAGACATTATTTCTAGTTTTATTACTTTTACATTCTCGTGAAGTCGTCTCCCTACTTCGGTTGCTATCCTCTTGGAGGTTTTAGGTGTGTGATTTCCATTTTCTCCCACGGTTGTATCTCCCACAATTGTTCTGTGTGGGCTTGAGGTCTGAGATTGCCTTTTGCTCCATTCTCCTGGGTTCCTCCCAGTAAGCTGGTTGTGGGGCCCCAGACACTTCCTACATTGGCTCCCCTTCCACAGTGTAGGGTCATGGGACAGCCACCTGTGGGGACAGCCACCTCTGACCCCAGGTGTACGGGGAGGTAGCAGGGCACGAGTGGGCTTTTCCAGACCTGTGCAGCTACACTGGGGCCTCCCCGATGGCCAGGGGTGTGCAGTGGGATGGGGGATGCTGCTTCTCTCAGCCTGGGTGTCTACACTGAGACTCCCCCAGCTGTGGCAGGCACACAGGGATGTGTTTGTCTGATTCTCCGAGTGGATGATGGCTGCCCGAAGGAAGCAAGGGCCTGCAGGTCAGGTGCACGGCTCGCCTGGCTGCATGTCCGTTCCCACTGGCTGCTGGCGGGAGGCAGCCTTCTGCTGTCTGTGGCCTGGCAGGTGGAAGTCGATCTGCGGGTTCTCTCTGCCTGTACAGGCTGCCCACAGGAAGAAGCCTTCCACCTCCGGTGGCCGCACCCGGCAGGCAGAGGCAGATCTACGTGAGTTATTTTTATCTCATCCTTTTTTCTAAGTGAACAGGAAAGCAAACAAAGAGAACCTAAAACAAATAATGGGGTCCAAGCAGTGAAAGCCTCTTGTCTGTCGCTTGCTTATGCATCGTCCTTCTTTCTGTCTCCCCGCTTCTCATTCCCCTCCCTGTCTTGTTTCCTGGCCGCTTTTCCCGAGTCACATTGGCTCTGTGTGAATCTGTGTTTCAGATTGTGAAGCTTGCTGTGTACGGCATGCTGCCCAAAAACCTGCACAGGAGAACCATGATGCAGAGGCTGCACCTCTTCCCGGACGAGGTGAGTCGGGCGTCGGTCAGCACGCGCTCATCCTCTGCTGGTCATCTCTTTTGCTTTCTTGGTTTAAAACGGTATGTGTGTTATTTATGTGAGAATTACTCTTAATTGAAGCCATAGAACTAGCCATCACTGACCTAAAAATCAAAAGCACAAGTTTTGGGTTTTGGTTTTTGTGTTTTGTTTTGCTGACTGCTTTCATTTCAAGAAGGAACTGTGCTCAAAGCCTCTGTTAAGTAGAGGTACTCGCTGGTAGTCTCAGCTATGACAAGAGGTATTACTTAGTTTATTTTTTACCCTAACCCTAACCCTAACCCTAACCCTAACCCTAACCCTAACCCTAACCCTAAGCCGTCCTTGAGTCATGGATTAATAAAACTTAGGTTGCTAATTTTTCCCTGTGATTCAGCTTTACAATTTTTATACCTATTCTGAATTTATTCAGCTAAAAGTACTTCGTAAAAGTACGGTTTTATTTCTTACACTTCTTAGTGTCAGGAAAGTAGTTGAGCACGGTCTGGAACCCGGCTGCCTGAGTTTGGATCTGTGTTCGTGCGTTGGCTTGGTGTAGGCACGCAGTGGACCCTCTTTACTGCTCTCCTCACCTGCGGAGGGGACACAGCGGGGCAGCCGTCGTGGGGGTGACTTGAAGTGCTGGGAACAGGGCCTGGAGCCTGAGCCAGCTGCCCTGGTTGTCACGGTTACGGTTACTTTCCTTGTGGTTGTACTGCAGGAGTAACGTGGAAATTCATTCCGAGATGTCAGCGTATGGAAGTTGGCCTCCCGTGGGCTTTGCAAGCCTAAACAATGCATGAGTAATGATCGCGAGTAAGGGAGTCACTGTGCCTTGACAGTGACAAATCATGGCCTCTGCTTTACCGAGCGAGTGGCATGATTCCCGGGGTTCGCTCCCTCTCGGGGTAACATATGGGAGCAGTGTGATCACTGGAGGATAAATCACTAGAATTTAAACTCCTGCTTCTGGATTTACTGCCAGAATTTTTCAGAATAATGATTTATTGTGATGTTATTCATAAAAACCAGTCACTGTTGCTTGATGATTATTATTCCCTCCAGTTACAGTGTAGTCAGCTGAGTGTGAATGTTTTAGATGCTCGTGGTAGTTCAGTTGAGCATTGGATTAGCTGAATAATTTCAGACTAAAATAATTAAGCTCATTTCCCTCTAAATAAATTGGTAAACAGTCAGTGGAAGGCCTCTCCCCACGGACACAGGGGTCCAGCGTAGCCGCGGCCCTTCTGCACCCGAGGAGGCTGCCCCGTGTACCTTCAGGGTAAACTGCTGCCACCGAGGCTACTGGAAAAGGCACAGTGGTTATTACTTCTCTAATATTCATAGCAATAAAATGATTGCAAGTAGTGAAAATCAAGACCCAACCACAAAGAGAGGCAGGAGGGACATGGGCAGCCTGCCGTGGGCCCCATGACCAACACAGGGCTACGTGGGCTCACAGGGCAGCTCTCCCGTGAGACTGGATCCGAAGAGCTCACCCTGCTTACCCGCCAGAAGGTTTCCATTCGCAGTAAAGAATGTCATGTGCAAGTGTAGAGGGAATAGCGTCCCCGAAGGCACCAGTGTCAGTGTGGTTCACAGCCGTCAGTTAAAGGGTTGTACACACAATCCCAAAGTGCTGGGCTGCAGCCGGATGGGTTGGAAAGGGGAAGGGGAAGGTGCTGTGCCATAGCAGCCTGTGGGCAGCCAGCCCTGCGGGATGGAGATGCCCAGTTCAGGCTGCACAGCAGCCTGCAGGACAAAAACCAAGAAAGTGCTTCGTCCAAGTCTTGGACAATGCAAATGTGAGGCTGTTCTGCATGTGACTGGCTGCAACGCGCCGTGTTGCTTATTTCATGAAGAAAATAAGTAAAAGGCAGGACACCAGACGGAAGCATAAACAACCCAGTACCCAGCTGCCCGAGGTGAAGATGTAGGGTGCCGGAAAGCATGCAAGGGCAGGCGGTCGAGCAGTTCCGGAAGTCGGGATACGCAGTGCGGTACACCGTAACTGCTTCATCGCTTCCTGGACATGACGCAGCCACGCAGGCAGTTATCCTTGTCTTTAGGAGAAAACCGCTGAGATATTTAGACCTGAGTTGTTTATGAACTGTTCTCGAGGTTCACCTAAAAGGGATTTATAGATAGATAGATAGATAGATAGATAGATAGATAGATAAAAGAGGGAAAGCAACGTCATGTTAAGATAAAAAGTTGTGAAAGGAAAGAAATGCTCAGCGGGCCCACAGGCTGCTTCCCTCTGCTCCGCAGCCTCCCCAAAGGTGCACCGTCCTGCGCTCAGGTCCTGTCGGCATCTGCGGGTGCCCTGTCTGCAGCTGAGGGGCCTCCCTCGCCCCGGCTGCGTGTGCGCTGCCTCTGCCTCACCACAGTAACCTCCTCTGATGGTGAGCACATCTGAAAGGCTGGCTTCAGTCAGGTCTCTGTCCTGCATAGTAAACTTAAGGAAGGGACCCCCACCTGCTGAGCGAGGGCCTGCTGGTGTCTCAGATGGCCTTTATAGCTGAGGTTGGTGGCCCCTACCCATGATCCCAGCACTCCGGGAAGCTGAGGCAGGAGGATCAACAGTCCAAGCCCAGCCCCCTGTCTCAAAGTAAAGATGGATGAGGTGGGAGGGCAGGGAAAGGATGAAAGAGGAATGGAGATGTGTTATGTGCCTGCCAACTCCCACCAAGGATTTAAACATTATGTACTCCAAACACATACATATGTGTACATGTGTGTGCACATATACAGTGACTTCTGAAAAGAAGTTAAAATATTATAAATAGCCCCTTTCCTAAGAAAAAGCATGATCAGTATTTTGCATATCCACCTATCTGATTCTGTGTAAATATGCTTGCAGGTTTCAATACACTAATAAAGTGGGTGAAAAGATATAATTACTGTTAAAATACACTCCATGGAGCTGGGCTGGGGATACAGCTCAGCAGCACAGTGCCAGCCTGCAAGTGCAAGGTTCTGAGCTCGATTCCCAATACAAAAAAAAAAACTTCTGTGGAGAAACCTATTAGCAATGATATCTATTGTGTTCTGTGTATGGTAGCAGTGGCCTGGCCCAGGGAAACTAACATTTTAAGTCCTTTTTAAATTTTTAAGGGTCTTGTAATTGTTTTTGCTCTGTCAGAGTTTAGAACAAGCTTACAATACAGCACAATTCTGTGGTCCTGAAGCTGTATTCTAATCTTCTAGCCAGTGGTTGCTCAAAACTGTCACTTGTGCTGTATTCTTGGCCAGGGGCCCTTGGGTTCCTGCTGCACCCTCTGGAGGACCACGTGCACTGTGTCCAGTGTGCAGAACTCCTTTGAGGTGCCCACACTAACTAGGAAAGGGGATCGGCCCTCCTGGGGCCGCCTAGGGCTGCCATGGTCCTGTCCCACATGGATATGGATGGCTTCACCCACAGTGGCCCCCCAGCTGCCTGCTGGAGTCACGACTGGAGGAGACCCCATGGACCCCTCCCATTGCGGGGAGCCGAGAGCATCCCATTCTGCTTGCCTCGGCCCCTGTTCCCAGGGCCCAGGATGGCCCAGAGGAGCCGCCCACAGCATGGGCCTGCACTCTCCTCCTCTCTGCTCCAAGCCTTCTCTGCCCAGTGGCTGAGCTCTTCAGCTCCCGTTCACTCCACATCTAGACCTCTTCCCATCTACCTCAGTCATCTGCCCCCTGGGCTGTGTGTCCTCAGCTGTCCACTCTGCGTTGTCTTCCGAGGTCTCGGGGCCTCGAGGGGAGGTGGCTGGTGGGCAGAGTGGTTCTGCAAACCCAGGCAGGGCAGGCCAGCAGATGGGTGCCAAGATGGGTGAGCAGAAGCGAGTTCAGCATGGCTCAGAGCAGGACTCTGGCTGTGCCACCCCGGTCAGCAAGGGCTGAGGCCTGAGTCTCCACAGATGCTAGGCTGAGGCGAGACTGGGCCGGTTGAGGTGAGGACGGGCCATTTTCCTTCATCACCTCAGCAGTCACCGTGGTCTCTAGTTCCCAGAGGAGTGCAGGACATGTTTCTCAGATAAACAGCTCAGAGATCCAGCATGTTTTCATTCCCAAAGAACGCTTTCCTGGCACTGACCTGAAGCCCAGTTTGAGAGGAGCAGCACTGGGCACAGCAGACCTGGGCCCCGAGAGAAGGAGCAGCGGCAGCAGATGCCCGTGTGACAGCGGTATCTCTCCTCACCCGTCAGTTGTAGTTCTCAGGGTTCTGCAGATGATGCTCCCTGTCAGCCCAGGTGTCACTAACTGATGACTCACAAAGCTGTTTTAAGAAAACCCACCGCTGTATTTGCCCTAGGACGTTCCGGAGGAGCTCCTCAGGAACTTGGTGGAGGAGCTGCCTCAGCCCCGGAAGGTGCCCCGGCGCCTGGACGAGTACACCCAGGAGGAAGTCGCGGCCTTCCCCAGAGTGTGGTCTCCGTAAGTGCCTCTCCTTTCTTACTGGGGTCCTGCTCCCATGCTGATCCCAGAGTGGGGAGAGGGCCTTCATTTGCACTTCCTCAGAGGCTCAGCAGCTGCTACCCGCAGATGAGCCCAGGTGTCGCGGTGAGAGCCGGGCAGTGAGCCTCAGACCTGCTGCATAAGTGCAGGGTCCTGGGGGACTGTCCTCGATCTGCCTGTCACCTCGGGCCATGGTGACTGCCTTGTCATTAGCCTAAACCAAGTGACTGTAGATCCCACTGCTTTCCAGATTGCTTCATATGTCAAGGATATCAGCTAGTGAAATGTCATTAATTCTGGAATTTCAGTCTTGAGCCAAATAGAAAAACAAAGCCTTTCTCCTTCCTCCACTCAGTTTGGTCTATGGCAGGGCCAGAGCTGCCAAGGTTTGACAGCCTGTCTCCCTCCTAATTGTTTCCAGGCCCTTGGGGATCTGCAGATGCGCATGTGGACCCGCCTCCTCGGGAGGTCCCCTCTGCAGTCCCCCCTCGCGGCCTCGTACTCACTGGCCTTTCCGTCCGTGCATTTACTCCGTGTACTCAAGTGTGTGCATTCTCTCTGTGGTCTTGTGCCCGCCACACTAGAGCTCCTGAGGGCACCACGCACGTGCCTGCAGTACTCTCATTGTGTCAGCAGGCCTCTGACAGAGGTGCGTGGACCGGAGCAGTGGCTCTGTTCCCGTAGGAAGGCAGGAAGGGCTGTGTAGGAGGCAGGAGGTAAGAGCCTCTTTGCCAAATAGCCTCCTTTATTTATGTGTGTGTTTGTATTTCTCTCCTTGAGCTAATAGCAGTAATAAAACTTTGGCTCTCCCAGTGTTTTATCCTGTCTGATCCTCTGAGCAAATCCACGAGTTAGGGTTTTTATTTCTGTTCTTTTTACAAACAAGATAATATAGGCCCAGAAAGATACAATGATACCTCAGATCCCATCATCGGAAGCAGGGCGGCGCACCTTCTAGTGGGCTCCTGGAGAGTCTGCGTCTCAGCGCTGTGCGGAGTCCATGGCGAAGGTGCCCAGTGCGGCACTCGTGTCCCCGAGCCCTAGGGGCCGCCTTGGACCTGCCTGACAAAGTGTGACGTTATGAGTTCAATCCCCAGTACCAAAAAAAAATCCAGCCTAGACTCAGTTTGTGCCTTTTCACCTAACTCAGTATCCTGCTGGGCCTCAGTATCTGCATCGAACCAAGCTGCTTCGCCTTGGAACAGCACCGTCCACACTTCAGGGTCCACACTTCAGGGAGGGACTGAGCAAACAGCTGCTGGTGGGAGCCCCTGGAGCCCCTGGAGCGCGGACGGGGCGTTAGCAGGGAGCAAGCTTTGTTACTGCAGCCCTGTAGTGGCACGCTTGCCGACGCAGCGTTTTCATGAGTGGGGTTGGGCTGTGCGCTGCCCCCACACAGAGCTGTGGTCCGCTGTAGCCTGGAGGGCATGGGAGCGGTGCGAGGAGCTCTGGCCAGTGCAGGCCATCACAGGGGACGAATCCTGTCATCCGTGCGCTTGTCCTGCTCAGCAGGAGGCCTGTGGGACCTTTGCTGTTCTGAGGAGGACCACCAGAGGTGCCCGCGAGTCAGGTGTTGGTTCCTGCCGTGGTTGCACAGCGCCCTGGAGGGCAGTTTAGCCAGGGCGGTCTGTTCTAGCGCCAGCCGTGCGCATTCTTTGTGCTGCTTTGTAAGGAGAGCTCCTTTCCTAATGCTCCCGCTTCCTTATGAGATGGAGCGATGACCTGAGCTGTCCTTAGGTGAGCAAGGCGACAAGGGCTTTGCCGCCTAACTTTTCAGGAGGCGCGTAGAGCAGCTGAGAGCCGAGAGGCGTGGCCGAGCTGGGCTTCCCTGCCCGTTCTTTTCATCCCAGATTTCCGCGAACAGGAATACGCCGTAGACACCGCACTTCTCCACGGCTTGTTAAAGCGGGGAGTTTTCCTCTAAACACTTACCCCGCATGTGGTGCCTTCTGTTCCCACAATCCTGAAGTGGGGATGGATTATCAGAACTGGGGAGCGGTCCACGGCTTAGGTGTTCTGGCCGCTTAACCTAAATTGTATGCTTCAGACTTTTGTTCTCCCAGCACCTCAGGGCTGACACCAAGTCCAGCGACTTCACCACGTGAAAAGCATGTGACGGGGGAGGGGGGTGTCATTTTGGGATTAACCAGATGATCTTCAGTGTAGGGCTGTGCAGCAGAGCCTCCTGCAGAGTGAAAGGTCCTTCCACCGAGCACTGCACACCACCGCCTGTGGGAGGCGGGCGCTTGCACACCTGCCGGTGACCGAGGGTCTGAATTTCTGCTTTCGTGTCATTTTAATAAATTTAAGCTTCAGTCGCCGCACATGGGGCCAGTGACTACATTACTGGACTGACATTGCAGTTCCCCCACTTTGTAATGTTCTAGCAGTAAGCACTGCATACTTTAGAATACGCCCTGCAACTGAATGTAATGAAAATGGGATGTCTCGTTATTGCAAGGCTGGCCTCTCTAAGAAAAAAAAAGAAAACAGCTTCAACTACGCTTTTGTTCCACCCAAAATCACTAAGCCAAGAGTCTTTCTTGGGAGTGTAGTAACTGGCCTTGGTTCAAGGCAGATAAGCGCGGACCACAGAGCCCTGGCTGCCGCGGGGCACTGGCTCCACCGCTAACGTGTAGACAGCTGCCCTGGGCGGGGCTCCCGGGCAGTGGGGCCCACAGCCTGGTCACGGGCACAACTGGCCGTCATGGCTGGGCCTTTCTGCAACTCTGAGTAAAAGGAAAGCTGGTTAACTCTCCTCTTGGATACCAAAAGCTCTTAAACTAAGTTTGACCAAGTAGGGGATTAACAAAATTGTTTTGTTATGATTTCCTCTAAGTTATTTTAAATCACTTACAAAATTTCCAATCTTTCAGGACTAATTTCAGCATGTGTTAGGGTTTTTCTGCTAATTAATTGTCAGTCATTTAAAATATCATAGGAATATAAAGCTACTTTTTTAAAAGCAAAAGCCATTTTCCCATATGGGCAATGCGTGGTAGCTATTCATCTTGCTTCTTAAATTAGTGGATATGCTTAGCATGTTAGTATTTTTTATATTTTGTGAATACATAAATTTTGGCGGGACACTGTTCTGAAGTTACATTGTGTGTTTCCTGGTAAAACAGAATAGGTATGTGTTTGCCCTGTGTGGGTGGAGAGTGTGGGGTTTGCACTTAAAATTTCTCTTTTCATAAGAAGGATAAGCAATAGCAGTGTCTTTTTATTTTTGTTTTGGCTTACTATTCAAGTGCTCGAGATGTTAGCTTTCCCGCGGACACCTTAGGTTAATATCATCACTAATTCCATAACTATTGCAGCTTTTTTTAGCATATTACAAAACTCCCGTAGTCATGGAAATGGTAATGTGTGATTGTAATGGAAATGTTTTGTTTTGAAGTTTAAAAATAAAATCTGAATCACTTGGAGTTTTTTTATTTTCAGTTTTTACAAATTCTCCAGGAGGCTTAGGGAAAGCTAGGTAGGTGGAGCAGAGTCTGCGCCTGGTTCCTCACTCGGATCCCCTCACGCAGCCTTTACCAAGCCCCTCGCCTTTGTGCAGAAACCGTGTGGAAAGCGAGTGCCATCTTCATCGAGCAGCTCTAGGCTGGTGCCTGCTGTTCGGGGTGCCCGGGAGAGGTGCAGGGGAGGCCAGGTCCAGGGGGCAGGGTCAGCTTGCTGAGCAGACTGCAGCAGGTCACTGGAGCCCGGACCTCAGCCATGCAGACTCTGGTAGGAGCTGCTAAGCCCAGAACATGCGGATGTTCAGCTTTACTTAAAGGATCCTGAAAACAGCGCACATGTGTGTTTCTAAAGTAGGACCCTTGGACAATGAGAAGACTTCTGTCTTTTTAAATTCCGTCAGGAGCCAGAGTCTGGACAGCTTTAAGATTTTCCAGAGTTCGGTGCTGGCCCGGCCATGTGGCATCTCCCGCAGGACTGAATTGGCTGCTCTTTGTAGCGAGAAGTTATTAGCTGGGCTCGGGGTGTGGGGTGACTTTCCAACTTTCCCGGCCGCCTCAGCCAGCTCAGCACTAGCCAGGCCATCGGCTCAGTGTTCCCAGTGCTGAGTGTCACTCCACTCTGCCCGGAACCAGAACAACTGAGGACCGGCTGGTAAAACAGCAAGGAAGTCCATTCAGGCAACAGGAGCAGACCGCTGCAAGTCCCTGCCAGGATAGATTCTGATGATAGAGCTGGTAACCAACCACGGTGACGTCTCTGTTGCTTCTCATTGGTCTCTGTGCAGCTACATTGGTTTTTGTTGATTGGTTTGTGTTTTTTAAAACAGTACCAGGGACCAGAACCAGGCCGCATGCATGCTAGGCATGCACTGTACCACTGAGCTCTGGCCTCAGCCTGTTCTTCTCTTGACCTTTCCTTTCACCTCCCTCCTTCCTTCCTTCCTTCCTCTCTCCCTTCCTTCCTTCCTCCCTCCCTCCCTCCCTCCCTCCCTCCCTTCCTTCCTTCCTTCTTCCTTGACAGGATCTCTAAGTTGCCCAGGTGGCCTTTAATGTAAGACCCTCCTGTCTCAGCCCCTTAGCAGCTGGGATTCTGGGGAGGCACGCCAGCCCCCACTAACATCTTTGAGAAATACATGATCACCCAGATCACCTGAAATGGTTTATTCTGAATAAGTCATCTTTACTAGAAGCTGAATTATCTTAATGGGACTAACACTGTCACTAATTGAACTGTGACACAAACCATGTGCTCAGAAACTTTCTGTCTCCTTGTATTCACAAACTACATGGACCTTTTTCACAGTTTGACAGTGTCCACTAAAATCTCTATAAGTATTCCTGAAAGTCAGAAGGTAGATTCTTTTATTGGAATGATCTTGTTTTCGAGCTCGTGTGGCCATGTGGACCTCTGGCCTTTGCATACCTTGAATCTGAATCTGCCTTCTGAGATGTGCTTATTTCCTTTTGGGAGTGGCCAGTGATGCTTTGCCGGGGACAGTGTGGGGAGGATCATGTGGCGGCAATGTGACCTGACCGCTGTGGAGCCGTCGCCACCATGCCGGGGGATCTTCTGGACCATGCAGCAGACCTGGTTGTTTCCCTTTCTGGAAAAGGAGTGCGATTTTCAAAAAGCGTACTGCTCAGAGGTGTTCTCTGCCTGTGGGGTCTCTTGCTTGTCAAACAGATCGTTGCGGCAGAATATTTTCTGGGCATGCGAAATATCCAATCTGGAGGATGAAGTAAGGAGACTCTGAGGTAGCGAGTTCCTGCAAGTGTGTTCTAAGTACAGTATGAAAGCTTAAAACTGTGACCTTTGTGTCAAAGGCCAAAATAGGCATGGATGAAGAATCTATTATGGGATATGTTATAGCTGTGTATATATTATATGCCGTGTGTTACTTTTTACTCGTTGCTGAGACAAAATACCTGAAGCCCAAATTGGGAAAGGAAAGGTTTATTTCTTACAGTTTTTGGAGGTTTCAGTCCACACTAAGTTGGCTCCAAGGCAGGCGGGCATGGCTGGGCCGCAGTTCACGGCGGCTGTAAACAACAAGCAGGAACCAGCAAAGAGCAAGACACACCTTCTTCCTGCCATCACATCACATCCTGGCTCCACCCCTAGGCCAGTGTAGTACTCACACCCCCAATCTAAGCACTAGACAATGGACCAATCACAAATGCACAATGCAAATACATGAGGCCTGGGGGCCACCAACATACACCCTGACACTGTGTGTTACACAGCTGTGAAACTTCCTTCTGCTAGCAAATACTCTTCCTCTCGCCTGCTGCTCTGTGCCTGTCAGTAGAACAGGACCAACACACCTGCCCAAATGTGTGTTGATTGCATGCATGCATGAAATCACATCCTCTGTAAAAGAGAGGAATGAAGCCAGACGTGGCAGGCCTGTAATCCCAGCACTCTGAGGAGGCTGAGGCAGGAGGATTGTTGTCAGTTCAAGACCAGCCTGAGCTACAAAGTGAGCTTAAGGCCAGCCTAAACTGCAAAGTGAGACCCTGTCTCAAAAAGACAAAAAAAAAAGAAAAAGGAAGAAAAAAATCAGTGAACTTTTAATTTATAAGATGTGGTTCATATTCATAGTTTGCTCTTTGGTGCCTAAAGCTGTCTTAATAAGCATAGCCAAAGTAGAAATTCCTTAAGTCTGTGTTCTAAGTTCAGCTCTGCACCTGGTTTTGGATACTTTAGATCTGCGTCTGAGGAAGGATCAGGGTAATTGTGTTGAATACTATCAACTCACACTGTCAAGAAGCAAATTTCTGTGGTTTCCATCAAACAACATGAAAGTTGATGGTGTTTAGCTTTCTGTAACAGCATTTGAAATATCCGAAGATGGCTGGAGATTACTCTAGAATTCGGTTACTATTCACAAGTATTTGAAATTCATACACTGTTTGTTGAAACTTCACAACTTGCTACGCCCACCGCCCGGAAGAGGGCAACTGCCGCAGATATTCACGGCAGGAAGCTCAGCCAGTGCGTGTGGGCACGTGGAAGCAGCTGCGGAGAGCAGAGCGCCGCTCTGAGCGCCAGCCTCAACTTACCGGTCAGTTTACCAGGCCTGCGGTAGACGGTCTCAGCAGGAACCAGGAGGTGCGTGAGTCGCGCAGTCAGCTGCGGTCACCAGAGTACTGCACACGTGGCCCGCCCCACCTAAAGAACCTGAACAGAGTGACCCACGGTGCTGCAAAAGTTACATGAGCTACAGTTTACATCTTTCTTTGTGATAAACGCCAAAGGAATTTCAGAATCCGGCCTCGGCACTGCACGTGCGTAGCTGTTACTATGTCGGAAAAGAAAAGCCAGCCTGCTGGTAGTGCCTTCGGGCTGACCTTGGCTCCTCAGGACCCAGCATCGTGTCCCGCAGGAGGGGCCCTGCCCCTCTGAGCCGCCCCGACCACTTGTGTGCCCAGCTGGGTTCAGGCAGCGCCAGGGCAGGTGGTGCCATCCCACCCTTCCTGATGTTGCAGGGCCCTCGGCTAGAAGGGCAGAAGAGCAGCCCAGTGCTGTGTGCTGGCTTCTGTCTGTGCCAGGGTGGGAGGAAGACAGGGGCCCCAGAGGCTGTGCAGCGTGTGCCACCGCCTGTGAATTCCCTTGGCTGACAGGCCCTGCCCCGGATCCCAAAAGGACCCAGTTACAGAGGAGCAGCAGGAGGAGAGGATGAGTTTGTAAGCACAGTGGCATCATTGGGGCCCTTGCCCTGTGCTGGCAAAAGACACAACTAATGTCCGCTGTATGCCTGCTGTGCTGGCTGCGGGAACCAGGAGATTGGCTAAGCTTGACTGTCGTTTGGGGAGTGAGGGGTCCCACAAGCACTGGGGCTTTGTGGATCCCCGCCACCTTCTCCTTTGCGTGGGGCACTTGAGGCCTCAGCTTTGGCATTGCAAGATGGAATCAGTCACCATTGTGAGGGTAAAATATTGTAATTCGCAGGACCATTGCTGTGCTTTGGGGCACCTGGAAAACGACCAACACGTGTTGTTCTCAAAGCAGAGCCAGCACCACGCGAGGTGCACCCTGGGGGGCTCGGGACAGAGTCCCCAGGTGTCCCCGAGGAAGGGACAAGGCGAAGAACTTGCCAGAAGACATGGCTGCTGAGGTGCATTGTGAAGGAGGAGGCGGGCTGGGTGGGCAGAGGCGACGCCAGGCAGAGGATGGTGCAGAACCCAGGCCCGGAGTGTGGAGGGTAGCGAACAGCTGAAGGGGCTGAGGGCCAGAAGGTGGGCCCGGGCTGTGTCAGGGAGAGGCCCAGGTTCATTCTGGAGGCCACTGCACAGATCCAAGCAGGAGCCTGGTCTGCGGTCTCCACGGCTCTTCCGAGCTCCTGCCCTGTGTCTGGCTGCCTCCCGTGCCTGGCTTGTCACACTCAGGGTCAGCCCTCCGCTCCCAGCCAGACCTGCACCCCAAAGGCACTGCATGGCCGTCTTCCAGACCTTCTGCCCTTGCCCCGCTCATCCCTAAGCAGCTCTGACAGCCCTAAGCAGCTCTGACAGCCCTCAGCCTCCAGCTGTTGCTTCCTCCAGACGGTCATCTTCTCGAGACACACATGGGCTTCCTCGCCTTGAGGACAGCGTCCAGGTGCGGGCTGCGCCCTTCCCTCAGGCCAGTGCTTTCACTCTCTGCTCAGGCTTCGCACAGGCGCCTTCCGTGTACGCTGAGGATTTAATGGCCTGAAGCAAAATGGTGCAATCGCCTCCATTTCTTTCTGGTGACACCACCACTGCCCCAATGGTGACATGAACCAGCTGGACGGGAGCAGAGCACTTCTCCCAGTGCCCGATGCCTGTGACTGACCGGGAGCCGCTTTGATTGCTGGAGTCAAACAGTGAAGGCTGAAAGGGTGCCCTCCGGAGCCCGTGAGGCCTTTTACTGTCGGAAGGTTGCAGGACACTGCGACAGGACAGAGCTTCACCATTGGCCCTTCTGTGGCTGTCGGGGCAGATCCAGGGCAGCAGATCTGTCTGGCTTCCGGCCCGGACCGGGGCTGGGAATAAAAGGTGGAGTTAGGATGCGGTTCTCTTATGCAGCCAGGAGACTTTTGTTCTTCTTAGCCCAGCTTTGGAGAGTATTTGGTGTGAGAAATCATGCTGTAAATGTGGAAGGAACAAGATAAGTTATTTCAGGACAGCTTAACTGCTTTTTAAAGGAACTCAAAATATTAAATATTTTTATAGCTCTAACTATAATGAGCACCTAATACTATAAATATACTATTGAGAGTAATAAGACACTTTAAAATTCTTTGCATTTAAAGTTTTTCTCATTTCACCTGTTATCCTGTATTGCGTATTATTTATTATTAGATTTAACACCTTCTTGAAATTTTTGTTTTAATTTGCTAAGGGAAGTGATTCTCGGGTATGATTACATTCATGTCTCTGTTCACCAACTCGATTCTCCCCATGACTCTGGTTGAAAACCAAACTGGACAAGAACTGAATCAGATTTCCTAGAGGTCAGCATTGAACCTGGCCATTGAACTTGATTTGGTTCTCATTCAACTCAGGCTTCAACCACCATCGTGGAAAGAACTGAGTTCATGAACTGAGTTATCACTGTATTATACTGTAAACATTTAAATGAGGAAAAACCCAAGTATATGTAGGAAAAATAGCACAGACCTGGCTGGCCTTTATACCTTGAGGTGAGATATATATATATATATATATATATATATATATATATATATCTCCATATGTCATAGCGAAAACTGACTTCAGCATATGACAAAATAGTGTAAATAGGGAAGTTGTTCCTTCAAAGTTTGACTTTGTAAGGTCAGTCTACAATTTTGTATGAATTTTAAACGCTTTAAAAAATCACAGTAATTTTCTGTGAGAAGGGTGTAAAAGGGTGTTCAGAGTTAGAAGAGACAAGGCAAATCTCAGTTACCAGGTGCATATATCTACAGGCTGTCATGCTTACACCTTCAACGGGACTTCGTGATTTACACGGAACTTCCATTTGTGGTGTTTGGCTTTAGTGTTTCTACCATATAGTTAGATAAAACGTCTGTAGCCATGTCTCAGTGAAGAGTTAGTTTCCCTTTTAAACTGGAAAGATAATCTTCCTCAGCTAGGAGAAAATGAAATAATGGGCCACCAGGAAACAAGTGTTGGTTTTTGTCTTCCAGACCTGAAGATTACCGGCTGTAGGAGAAAGGCCAGGGTAACGGCGCCCCTTCCTGCCACGTCTCCTCGCCCAGGACAGGACACAGCGGGAAGGCGACTGCCTCCAGTCCCGGGTACAGCTCCGGAAGGGCTGAGCCCTCTGCCGGAAATCATAGGGAAACACTTTATTTTGTAGAAGTGTATCATTTATTTAAATGTTCTAAGTGATTATAATAAAACTTTGGTTAGCTATGCAGTTTTGCATTTGTTCAAATCACTCACACTGATAAAACATTGCAGTTATAAGTTGCAGAAAATGCACAGCGTGTGGGGTTCCCCAAGTTGAGGTTGCCTTCTCATCCCTGTGGGCGGCCCACCTCCTCTCCCTCAAGTCCCCAGTGTGTCACTCTCAGTGGGTTACATCAGTGAGGGTCACTGGGTGCACACCCTCAGAAAGGAGGATCCCAGCCCCTCCTCTCATGGCCCGGCCAGCCGTGAGTCAGCCCAGAGAGCAGCCCAGCGTGACAGGAGGGACCACCCAGGGACTGCACCCCCACGGCTGCCGGCCAGGATAACCTTCGCTCAGCGAATGGGGCATCACAGATGTCTGGTCCTGTCACAAAGCCAGCGCAGGCGAAGGAGAGTGCCCTTGACCTGGTGACCGAGCAGCCGGGTGGTGAAGCGGCTGACCACTATGTGCCCTTGGGAGCTCAGCCATCGGCTTGACCCATAAGGACCCAGCAGCCTGCAGGAGAAGACAAGCAGGACCACGGCGCAGCAGCCACGGCGAGGCCCAAGGCAGAGAAAGAGCTCGAAAAACAGAGACAGTGCTCGAGGCAAAAGAGCTCTTAGTCCCAGAATGGCCTGGTGTGGCGAGCGAATCTGCACAGACAGACAAACCGCTGGGACCGAGTCAAGGCAGGAGTAATTCATACCAGGCAGGTGTGCTGCGCTCTAGGTTTGCAGCAGATAAATGAGGAAAGCAACTGCCCTGCTGAACACAAGGCCCGGGAGGGGAATGTCACACCTTTCCTCTCCCGCCCTTGTGCCCAAGGGCATGGCCCTGTGTGTTTCGTCCTGCTGTGCCTCGGCCAGCAGGACTGAAGATTTTGAAGCAGGAAAAAACGTGATGTTGTGACAGCACGTGGGACCCATGGGAGCACCTCAAAAACCTAGGTGACAGCCCTGAAAAGAACAAGAGCTTGCAGAACCTCCATAGTCCCCTGCTCGGGCACTGCAGTCTCTGGAGAGTGGCGAATGTCACCAGTGTCACCCAGCCTCTTCTGGGTCCAGACGGACACCTGCATCATGAGAGGGGCCACTTCAAATGGTTCGAGCTGGGTTTGTGTTGTGAGCCAGTTCGGGGAAACGAAAACCCAAACATAGGTGACAGCCACCTGTCTGCCACCCCACTGCCTTCAAAAAGCTGAGACCGCTTACTTACACAGTGGGAATTTCCCATGGTGGACAGCGGACCTCTCCTCACTGCCCTTGTCAGAATAGCACTGGGTGTGCCCCAGTATTCCTTCATTTATTAGACATTTGTGATACTTGGTGCCTTGGTCACCTCTTCCCCATAGTCCTAAGCGTCTCACTCCCCGGCCTGGCAGATACGGCCCCAAGGGTGTCGCTGACAAGCCCTCCGCCATGGCAGGGGCGTGCTACGCAGCATTGATGGCACTTGGCGGACGGAGTGTTTTCATCAGCAGGCGTAGACCATCTCAGGTTCAGTCAGGACTCAGCAGCAGGTCGAGAGAAGCTCAGCTTCAGAGCAGATCTGTACAATTCTCCTTTGCCCAGAGTTTCGTTCCCTCTACCCAGATTCCTGCTCTAAGCTGACAGCTGGGATCTAGGACGGATGAACTTCATAATGTCTCTGGGCTCAGATGAACGGGGCCACGCACTGGCCCAGAGGCCTGGGTTGGCGGTAGCCAAGGATTGCTGCCATCTTTAAAAGTCTCTGGAGGGCAGAATTTTGTTTTACTTGAAAGACTGAATGTGAATGGTGGAGGCTTTCCAGCACCTGCGCGTAAGTGACAGCTACCAGATTCTGACGGCAGTTCCTGCGGTTTATTGCTGACCCTGTCCAAGCCAGATCCAGACGCTGTCACCATGCACTTCCTCATCTCGTTTCTATGCCGCATTCACTGATTTGTTTTTCTGCCTTCTGGAGAAGAGGGTCGGGGCACATTCCACCAAGAACGGTGTCAGATGTCCAGGTCTCTGTGGAACAGGTAGCAGTGTCTAAACCTGCGAGGCCTGGCAGCCCCTGGGGCGTTCTGCCAAGCCCTACTCCGTGGGGTTTGGATTGGATCGGACCCTACTGGAGACGGAAGGGGTTTTGGAGACAGACACTGAGGCTTCGCTTCTCCAGCTGGTACAGGGAAAGGGTGCTCCTCCCCCTGCCCTGAACTCCCAACACGTTCTCTCTCGGAGAGAACCGAGCAGTTCTGTAGCCTTCCTAACCCCTGGAAACTGTAAACCTCGGATGCACGACAGTCTAGCAGGTGGTCTGCCTTGCCCCACAGCCAGCTTTTAGTAGGCCGCCAGCCAGCCAGGAGAGGGTGTGTTTTCCACGCAGATAGCCTCGGCAGGACCTCTGCAGACAGTTACTTGAAACCTCCATGATTTCAAACAAATCTTTACTTCAAGGTTTAACTGTGCTTTCCCAGCCCACACACTCCCGTTCCAAAGTTAATACCCGTTAAAGTTTTGCACGGGGTCTCTGGTGGTGGGACACCCGCACTGTATTGGCCATGTCACCGAGGTCCAGGTCATGGGCCCACGTAAATCATTTCAAATCAGCACTGCAGAATAAAGCCTTTCGCTGTCTCCTTTAGCAGTCAAGAACTAAAGGAGGCTGGCTATGCGGAGGGAACTTGGAGTCTAAAGCATCTGTCTTTACTTTTTGGCAAAGGCACACAGTCCAAGTAAAATATTTGTCTAGCTTGTTACAGAAGCTTTACTAGACGTTTTACTGTCTGTGCACTGTTACCAGCATGGTGTGCCGGCAAAGCTAATAAATCCTGGGGAGGGTGAATATGTGTATTCAGAAAATTTGACCTAGAAGCCTACGCCTTGGAGGCAGTGGATAAGCAGCCAGTTCACCAGTCTGTATCAACAAGGGACCAGCCGCTGCGTTTCACCTGCACCATCCCTCCAGCCACGCTGGACTCCTGCAACAGTGTCCAAAGTGCTGGAGAGCCGTGCTCCTGTGGACATAAAACCACGCTCCTTCCTGTCTCAGAGCTACATCTGAGTGAGGAATGGGGATAATAAACACAATACATAAGTTACATTAAATTAAACTTGGGAAAGGTCTTCGAGGCATCCTCCCCTCTGAGTCTGCCGTATCCAGGGTGTGAGCCATCTTTGCGGTCTCCCAGGCAGGTGCTGGCCAGGAAGGGTGTCATTTCAGGGCTCATCAGTTGACTGGATGAAGACTTCCAGGGAGGAGATTCGATTGTGGTTATGTTTATATCTAGATGTTTCCCTTGAAGCCGCCTGCACTCGTGGGCGGGGCTTTGGGGAGCTCCCTGGATCCTGGAGGACCAGGCTGCTCAGGCAGGCCGGAAGTTTGGACGCCACAGGAGATGACCCACTCCGTCAACTCCCCTGTCCCTGAGCGTTTCCACAGCACGCAATGCCACGATTTCTCCCCTCCTAGCAGATCTTTCTTCACTCTGCTTTGTGGTCAGCTACCCTCCCACATTTGTTCCTTTTTACAGCAAAACTCCAAAGAGTGGGAAATCCTTAGTTTCTCCATTAACGTTTTCTTTGTTCTTAAATTCCCCCATGGTTTTTTTTTTTTTTTGTTTTCAGTTTTTATTTTTGTTAGTCAGTGTCTGCAGTTCATAATGATCGTGTTCCTTGGGCGGAGTTGTTGCATGCAGGTAACACATCCTTCTTCCTGAGTCAGCTTTCTCTCCCGTCTCCCCTCCCCCATCTCTTGGTCCCCACGTCCTTTGAGAAAGATCAGCTCCCCACTGCCCATGAGCTGTCTTTTATTTTGCACTTTATAGTTTGGGTTTGAGAAACCATGAAACACTTAAGCTTGTGTGTCTGATTTACTTCAGTTAACATGCTCTCAAGATCCCCCATTTTCCTACAAATACCTCGTGTTCATCCTTTGTGGCTGAGTGGTATGCCACTTTGTATTAAATAACACATTTTTCCATTCATCTGTTGATGGACATAGAGGCCACTTCCATGGTTTAGTTATTATGATTGTTCTGCTATAAATGTGAAGATTTTAAATGATTTCCATGTTTCCCATTTATTGCAGTGTGAAAGCCATGTTTACGCAGCCGCTGATGGTCTCATATGCATCTAGCCCAGCCTCCCTCCAATTCTGCCTCCTGCAGGGCTCCCTCTGCTCCTCCGCAGAGCCCCTGCCGAGATTCCCCCCCCCCCAGGCTTCTCCACTGCCAGTGGCTTACATTTAATTCCCATAGTGCCTGCGTCCTTCTTCTGTGCTCTACCACTGGCTTCCTAGGTTTCTTGTGGGTTTCCTGTCTTTCCCACTAGAACAACAGCGCAGAGAGTTTAGAGACTTTTGTGTGCCCTGTTTGGCCATGTACTCCGAGTCCCTAAAGCATGCCAGGGATACATCTTGCTTTACCCTTGCAATCCCATAGCGCCAACCTACGTGGTAACTTGCAGACACCTTCCGACTGCCTTTCAGCCTTGAGTGTCTACATCCCTGATACAGTACCCTTCTGTTCACCATGGCACCAGCCAGAGCTCTGGCAGGCTATCCCAGGGGAAGACTCACTCTGCTACCTGTGCTCTGCCTCAGAGGACTCCCATACCAAGATGGCGCCCCACACCAAGCTGGTGTTTCCATACCAAGAAGGTACCCCCATACCAGGATGACAACCCATACCAAGATGGTACCCCCATAACAAGAGGGTACCTCCATTCCAAGAGGATACCCATACCAAGAGGGTACCTCCATACCAAGAGGGCACCCCATACCAAGATGGTGCCCAAAGTTAGGCACTAGAGCACTGGAGATCATAGCTCCACCAGAGGGGTTCCGGAGCCAGAGGTGTAGCTTCAGTCTCCCACCCCAGAAGCACGATTCTGAAAAACATTCCTCAATTCCCAGAGTTCACAGTGGAGCAGAATCCCACCGTCTCTAACACAGCCCTGACCATGCGTCTGACGGTGGCATGTCTGTGTTCCCTCTCTCAACTGCTCTGTTCCCTCACTGTGACACCGTTGGACCACCTCCCAGGTAAACTTCCTGCATGA